AAGTTTTTACGAAAACAATAAGGAAAAACAATTTTTTATGAACCGTAGACCGCGGTGCCTTTGCCCGTGATGCTCCTAGGGCACCGCGGTGCACAGTTTGAGAACCGCTATTCTAGTGCAGTGTTTCCCAACTTCTTTTACTTGCGGAACCTTTGCAGGAGCTTGAACGTTTTGTGGAACCCCAATATTTTTTCTATAATTTTAATACAGGCAAATGTTTGGTACACTTAAATGAGTGAGTTATCGGACACTTCCGGCACAAGAGTGTCATTAATATAAAAAAAAAAGACGGCTTTAACATTTTATTTTGTTTATAACTATTACAATATTATAAATGTAATATTAAAGCATAAAATGTAATATTTGTCTCCCATTACCTCTAAGATATATTCAATGAGAAGATTGGAATATTTTCATAGTTTTTTTCATAACTGTTTTTAAATCTGGAGTTATTCCTGAAAATGAGATTCGTAAGTCTGAAGCCGCGTTCAGTTGATTTCGAAACTTATTCTTTGTCTTTGTATGCGCCGAAATACTACAAACTATGCACCTCATATCGGGAAATGTGTCAATTCCAGTTCTATGTTCAAATCATAGTCCAAATTAAAATATTGCTAATTAATTTATATTTTCTTAAATTTCTCACGGAACCCTTCGCGCAAGCTCACGGAACCCTTAGATTCCGCGGAACACCAGTTGGGAAACACTGATCTAGTGTATACCCAACTTTACGGTTCACCGTGTTTTATGAAATTAAACGTATACATGGTGCCAATTAAATAATCATTAGAGATAACAACAATAAATAAATAAATTCTTTGAATTATTTATGATGAGTAATAAAAAAAGAGCGTAAGGGATCATTATTCTTTATAACATAAGATTTGTTCATAATGGTTATTTTTTAAAGATTCTAAAAATATCACTGATTATTTGAACTTATAATTTACAAATAATATATATTATATTTATTATTATAATTATTATTATAAAATAATTAACAATAAAATACGTTTTCTGGTAAATCAATATTTTGTTTTTTTATTTTTTTTTTATTGATATTTTATTAAGATCGGCAGCAATGGTTATTAGCAGGGCTCGGGACTTAAAGCATTTGCTTATTTTTATTGATTGACTTAAAATGTAGCAGAGTGCTATAGAAGTGTATATCAAGTTATAACACGTACAATTATGATATTTGAAAGTGCTTTTTTTTTGCTTTTTTCAGCAATTTTTCAAAAAAATGCTTATTTCCAGTTTTTCTGATTATTTTTACTTATTTGACCAGTTCTTTTTACGTCTTAATAGTTTTCTCCTGCAAAGTCATTTTTGATAGAATTAAAATTAAAAATAATTCTTATCTATGTTGTCATGTAGTTCGTCGCAACAACGATTTTTCAACGCTGAAAATAGATTTGAGTGTCAAACGCCAGAATAATCAAGAACAGTGAGAACAGTTTACATTTTATTTTTCAGAAAAATTTCTTAGAAAATCCATAAAATCCTTAGTCTTGAAAGTGAAAATTTATTTTTATTTTGTTAGATTTTTTTTTTTTTTTGAATAAATATTTTTGCTTAATTTTAAATTTTTTAAATGCTTATTTTAGTATTAAAAATTTAAAAATTATACAGATTGCATGTAAGCGATTGATAAATATAAAATTATAAATTAAAATGAACGACCAAATGAACGTGAACATTTTAAAGAAAATGAACGTGAACTAATTCCTATTTTACGCATAGAACGTGAACGAATTCAATTTTCAAATGAACGTTCCGAACACTGGGATTATAGTTCTTAGCCATGAGATATCCGTCCGTTAAACGAGTGTGACTGATACGGAGTCTATTAATTGTTAAGTAGGTACTTTTTCTCTTTTTTTCAAGAAAGGGTTTAGCCATTCGATACTTGCCAAATTAATATTTGTAAATCATGTTTAGGGTTAATTTGGTGTCATAAGAATAAACAAAAAATTTAACAATTAAATCCTACATACTCTTATAAAGTATTTAATTTGGAGTTTTAACAACACATAAGTTTAAAGAATTTAACTAAAGCCCATCGTTTTTTTTTGATTTTATACAACTATTCTAAGAACAGATTGTACACATAATTTATTGCATATAATCAGTACAACTGTAAATTATTATTTTAATAGCCAAAATTAATATAAAATTGATAAATTATTTTTCAAACAAAAACTTACCTTTTTATATTGAGAAAAATAAAATTTTTCTTATTTCTACTAGTCATGTTTCATTTTTTTAATATTATATAATTGTAAATAAATTATTGCAATAATAATATTATGTAGGTTCATCATTAATTATATAAAACTAATAATATATGTTTAATATGAATACATATTTATTAAGTGCATACAATGGCAATACTTAATATTTTCTTTGTAAATTAAAAGAAAAAATATTTATCAGAGAAAAATAATGCTCCGTTATTGTGTTATATACAAATTTTAATGTTACCCATTAAGAAAAGGGAAGAGATATGGACGAACTATCGTTTGATTAAAATATCAAACTTCACAAAATAAGTCTACAGACAAATCTCAACCGAATATGATTGTGTACCTACATGTTTTTGATTGTATACTCGTTTTAGTAATTATTATGTTTTGTTGCAGTATTTATAATAAAAACTAAATTTGATGATCACAACACGACTTATATTTTCTAATTATTATTAGAAGTTTTTATAGGTAACTTCTATTTTTTTAAATACTAATTTATTTAAAGTTTTCTTATTAAATAACTTTTGATTTTCACATAAATTTTCAAAACAAATCAATGATATTAGTTTGTAGAATTTTATTTTTTGACGAATAAAAAATATTAAAATAGTATAATTTAATATGCATATAAGCTATTGCTTACTATAATTGTATAAAAATTTTTTATTACCATTGGACGAGCCAAATAAAAAGAGCAACTCTGCAAAAGACTGGAATCTTAATATTCAATAATATTTAAATGCATTTGAATGCACTTATATTAGGTAATATAAACATATTTCATACAATTATGCAGTAGCGTATTTATGGTGGAGAAGTTTCCCTCTTAATGATTTCCAGACCTTAAATTTTTAAATTTCGATCAATTTGAAGTTTGTTAATTTTTAAAATTCGAATAAAGGAAAAATTTTAAAAATTTATAAATTGTATTAATTTTATAAAAATTAATTAAGTCCAGGAACAATAGTATTGGTAATTTTGACTGAACAAGTCGAAACACATTATACTCTTCACAGGCTAATGCCTATTGTTGTAGCCTGTAGTTTGCAGAAAATTGTTATATACCAATTGTGGAGATAGTTGCATGAAGATTGCATTATGTTTCAGAAAATATTTAATGACCTTGCCATCTGTTATCGAATCATCCAGATTTAAATATTACTATCAATGAAGTTATTGACAAACTGGCAAAAAAAAAAAAGAAGGAAGCTAAAGTTTATCATAAATGAATTTCTATTTTTCAATAAGAGTTAATAAAACAGATACAAATTTAATCTTGACCATATTATACTGATTTATAAAAAATATGTATGACACCCTCCCCCAAAAATTGTTTGTAAATACACCACTGCAATTATGAGACTTCTCTTTAATAGTGAACTAAAAATTAAAATTTAAAGTTTTTAATTATAATTTACAGATACAGTGAATTCAACTTCTTAATGTGATCATTACAAGGGTCCAAATTATTTTTGATGCTATTAACAAAATTATGTCATAACTCATGATATAATATTTATATTTATTATATAATTTTAATGATCACATATAAATAATTATATCTCATTAAAATAAGAAATAAATTAATGGCAAAATATAGAGAAATATTAGCCTAAAATTCAATATCCACCCACACATGCAATTAAATTATCGAAACAAAAATTCTTCTATATCATTATTATACATATATATGTTAGCTTACATCATTAGGGAAGAAGTAAAATGTATTCTTGATATTCATCAATTTTCATAAAACTTTTTAATAGATTTTGAAAAGTCAAATTTTAGACAAAAAGTAATTTAATAATCCAGCATTAAGCAATTTTAATAAAACTCAACTTATCACAAAAACAATATTAGTTTATCATTTGATTTGTATTTCCTTTTTTAATTCCACAAATGTATTCTGTAAACCAGTTATTACTGTAGAATGTAATATGTATACTAGATACTAGGTGCTGGATATATTTGTTTACAACTACAACTTTATAAAATAGAAATATACAAGTAATAGATTAACTTTTAAAAAACATACAAGAAGATAATGTTGGTCTAAATAAAATAAAAAAAAATTGAATCAAAAAAGTTATCTGAATGTTATCAAAATCACAAAATTTCAAAACATTGTTGCTATTGGATATTAATATAATATTGCCCACACACAATCAATAAGGTTCATTGATAACGTTTGGAACTAATTTATTTTTAAAAATACAATTGTTTCTGTATAAATACGGTATTAGTGATTCTTTAAAGACATACTTCCAAGCTTGATTTTGAATTTTTACATAAATTTATAGTTAAAAAATCAATTGAATTTTTAATTTTTAAATAACAATAAATTGTAAGAAAATAATTTCCTTATGATTAAGACCAATTATCTTTAAATCTACATTTATTGTTAAAAGGCTTTAGTGATTCAAATTTAATAAAAAAAAAAAATGTTTAAAAAATGTTCTATCAACTAAAATGTCCACTTTCAATTGTTACAAATAATAATAATTTCTCATTTATTTTTCCAATCTCATTTGCTCAAATTTTTAATAAATCATACGTAAGTATAGAAGAATACAAAAAATATCGCAAACTCAAATAATAATGTAAATAATAATATTATATAATTCTTATGGTTTTCAATAATTCTCTAATAAGTTTTTAAATATAGAAGACCTATGCAATTGAAAATTATATTAAAATTATTTAATAATGGCAGGGTTTATTATAGAGTAGTAATTTTAATATAAATATATCTTGAAAACTGTAAAAAAGTGATTTTTATTGAGTTATGCTGAACTAAAAAAGAAACCAAGAGACATTTTTTAGTATTCATGCAGTTTTTGCTCTGATGGCAGCACGTTTTCCAGTGACGGCCTAAAAAAAAAAAAAAAAAATTAAATGAAAAATTCAAAATGTTAATTAAACTATTCAAATGTTGTAAAATATATGATAAATATTAAATAATTAAAAATATTTAAAAACAAGTATAAAAATAAATAACGTTATAACATTACTACAAGATTATGATTTTACAAGTAGAGTAAATAAAAAAAACTCTTCAACCTCATTCATTTTTAAGAAATTATTTAGTTCAATTAAACGATTTCGAGTTTGATTTACATTTAAAATTAGAATGTACAAATTTACCTGGAAACCAGATTTAATACTGGCAACAGAACAACGTGATCCACAAGTTTCACACTGCAAGAAAAACAAACGAGTATCTTTCTGTAAAATGGTTTCAGGTGAACGACATGTATGACAAGTAACATATTCTTTAATATATCTTCGTAGTACATTTTCTATTTGTTTTTGTTGAAAACGACCTTTGATTATAAGCTGACTATTACCATCTACTGAACCACTGGTACCTAATTCAGCTAATAAAAAATCTAACAAATGCTTTGGCTGACGATGCAATCTGTACAATAAAAATATGTTAAAATATATATATAAAAAATAGTTATTAGTACAAAAGTATTAATGCTTACGTTTTGCATATTTCTGTAAAGTTTGCAAATGATGTTTTTTTGGTACCTATCCGAACTACTTGTGGAGGGCGCATGACAAATTTTTGTTTTTTACCAGCAACCATATCTGGATTTTTTTCTCTCATAATTTCAAATACTCTAGTTAATAATTCATCATAAGTGTAATCTCGATCAGAGCCAAACCATGTATGACTCTCTCCATCGGTATCTAAAATAAAAAAATTATATTTTGGTATAGAATTTGAAGTACAAAAATAATAGACATTTAAAAACAAATTTTTAATTTTTAAGTATTTATTCCATTTGGAAACAAATATTTTTGATTTTAATGCTGTTATAAACATTTAATTATTATTTAATATTCTAAACTGTAGAACTAAAGACATTTTGTATTATTATTTAGAAGCCTAGAAATATAAAAATAATGGAAACAGTAAAAAATATATTTACTGAATCTATTTGAAAATCATTAAATTAAAATAATTTGTTAAATAAAAATGCTATTGGGTTTTTGAGCCCAATTGGTCTTAAAAGGTTTTTTTAAATTAAGTGTAGAGTACACCACTTAACCGGTATTCTATTTAGCTTTATGACATAAGCATATTCTACTTTAGTGATCTTATATATATATATATATATATATATATTTCTACAAAAATAAAGAATGTTTTAAATTTGAAATATATATAACATGATGATTTTTTTTTTTTAAGTAAATTAAAAAGTACTTCTCTACACAATAACTGAAACCTTCAAAACCCTTACCAGACTCAAAATTCCACTGTCCATCGTTAAAGCATGTAAATTTAAATAAAAAGTAAAAAGAATTGTCAACCTTGTTGTAAGATTAAAGCGCTCAACACTTACTGTCATCAGTTTTTTTATCTGTCTCTTCATTAACTAATTCATCAATGTCTTTCTTTTTTTTTTTTTTTTTTTTCGTTTTTGAAAAGTCCATATCTAAATCAAAATCATCCTACAAATCCAATGAGAATAAATAAATAATTAAATGAAATTATAATTTTCATTAATGAAAGAGTAAAACTGACATCCATAGCATCTTCTTGGCCATCACCATTTTCCATTGCTGATGAAGTATCTGGTAATGCATTTTCTAAATCATCTAAATTGATAATGTTTTTTTTCTTCTTTTTTTTCTTTTTACCAAAATTATCAAGATCCAGGTTTCCATCTATACAAATTTGAACACAAAATATTTTAATAATATAACTGACTTTGGAAATAGTGTTAAATGAATAAATAAAAATATATAAATAATTATTATTAATATATTGCATTTATTTGCAAATACAAAGAAAAGAATGTTGAGTTTTAGATTTATGAATAAATTGAATTATGTCTAACCAACTTAGTAACTTGTTTCAACGTTATTATATTTTATAATGGAACATAATATCAAATTTAATACTTCTTTAGGTATACTAAAATATTAAAAATTCTAAATTTAAAACTATAAATTATTGTTCAATCTGAAAATTTAACAAATTCCCTTAAATTCTTAAAATATTTTCTTTAGAATAATTTGAATGTACATACCATCAAATTCTTCTGGATCTACTGGATCCTGGTTTTCTTTATCTAAAGTTTGTTCATTTACAATATCATTACCTTCAGCAGCTAAAGCACTATCTAAATCAAACTTCTTCTTTTTCTTTTTCTTCTTAATAGAAGGATCAAATAACTAAAAACAATACAATTCAATATAATGTAAACAATTATATATATATATCATATGTATGCTAAGAATGAACAAATTAGGTTTTAAAATAAACTAAGGATTTAACTTTAATTAATTGTTGTTTAATAGAAATAACATAAGAACAACATAGAATAATTAGTATAGAATACTTTAATAACATAGTAATTAGTAAAAATCTACAGTACTGTAAGTAAATTTCAATAAGTAAAATATTTTTCATTACATTATTGAATAAGCTCTATTGTTAAAAGCATTCTTAAGTCAAGATTACATTTTGAATGTCTAAGATTTTGAAATTAAAGCAACATTAAAATAATCTAATTTATAAAAGTAATATACCATACATGAGAATTAATTTAACATAATTTTCAAATTTCTAAGATTTATCTATGTTCCAAAAATACATTGTTTACATGTAGAAATTATTAATTAAATCACTCACTAGATTTTAACATACACTATAGTTAGCTATAATCCTAAATAATTTATTTGTATAGTTCCAAATGTAATTTCAGTAATTGGGTTTTGTTATTATCTTAATAAATTGCTTATTAGATTTTGGAATTCAATATTTTAATAAGATAAATGAAAGTTAAAAATATTACCTATTCAAAGTGCTATAGTAATAAAAACAGGACATTCCAGTGAGCACCTAAGTTTAATATTTTAGAATGTTGTTCAATGATTCAATGATACAAATTACCTAGACTTAAAATTTATCAAAATATAAACGACAAACATTGAATACTTACAGCTTCTTCTTCAGTCATTTTTAATTGTAACAAATTATAATAACTTAAAGATGAAAAACAAAATTTGATACACGGTACACTTAAGTATTTAAAAATGTGTTGGACAACTTATAAGAGAAAAATGTGATGACTGATGTGTGGAATTATGTTGCATCAGCCGCAACCATCCAATGTGACCAATGGACGGAAAACGGGCGATATGTTTTATCGATATGACTATTGAGATATTGATAAAATAATTTGTATTCAAATGAATTATGAATTGTAGTCCAAAATAATTTTATCCGAAATTGTTTTTATAATTTATAAATATAATTTTATTAGGAAATCATATTTACATGAACGTAAATTGTATTTTGTAATTGTACAATATCAATAAGGTAAATATTTAATGGAACTACATTGTTACTGTAAAGGCGGCACTGTGTTGCTTTATCTATTTTTTTTTTTTTATTATTATCGCTAAAAAAGAATAACAATAAAACAAAAGAAAAATTTTCCTAAATGTCAGTCAAAATGGAAATCCGGATCTTGTCATTTTCTCAATCATTTTTTTGACTATTGTTTAAAAAATTTATTAGTTTACCTTTATAGTTATAAGTATTAATTAAATGTAAAAAAAAACCAAATTTTATGCCTGTGATCAAATATTTTATATTTATAATAGTATGTATACATTAAGCTCTACGGCCGTTGTGCTCCTAATAATCATCAGTAATATTAATGGTAAGCTGTTCATATAATAAATTGACTTTTTGAAATTAATAAATTTTGTAAAATTGTTTAAGGGAAACGTCTTAGCCATTATGTGTCGCATTATGAACCTGTTACATATGATCATGAACATTTGGCCTATAGTCATGATAGGGCTAAAAGATCAGTAACTAATAGCGATAGTATTGTGCATGTGACGTTTAAGGCGCATGGTCATAATTTTCAATTAAGACTTCGTCGAGATTTGGAAACATTTTCAAATACTATTGAAGTATTAGATAGTTTTGGTAATCATTTACATCCTAATGATATTGATACTTCACACATTTATCATGGACATATCATTGGTAAGTTGTTTACATTTTCTATTAATTTAAAATAATGACTGTTGTAGCATTAATTTTGATTGAAATTTACTCTAGTTATAAAATTGTGATTGTTTTATTCAAAATCTATGATTGTAATTTCATAATATATCTTTAATATATTTTTATTGAATTAATTCTAAATAAATTATATACTGTAGTTCAAATCTTTAAACATGTGATAAACAAAATTGAATATTAGCAAAACAAAAAAACTAAATATTAATTGGTTATGAGTCATATTTTATTAAAACTAATTAATAATTATTTTAAATTAAATATATCTACTATCTATCCATTAAATAGTTCAATGTTTCATGAAATTGGTTAACTAGATTTGTTATTTTTAAATAATTAATATAAACAAATAATATAAGTGTAACTGTTGTAAGATTTATTAATTATCAATTAATATGATATTTGAAACTTATATATTACATCTTCTTTACTTCTGTACTTAAAAAAAAAAAAAAAAATTACAGAATGCAGTTATAAAAAATATTTCTCAAAATTGTCTTTTTTTTTTTTTTTAATAATTAATATAAACAATTACTATTTGTGTTAATACTTTAAAATAATTAATTTGTAATAATATAATTTCAATGTTTATAATATTTGTATAATTAAGTATACATTGAACATTTTAGAATAATAGTTTTAAATATTTTATTTAATACTATGTAAGAATTAAAATTTTAATTACAATTTGGTTCTAAATTATGATAAATACAAAATTATCTTATTATTGATTTAATATACTATTTATTTGTATAAATAATATATTATTAGATACACTTTTTAAATTGTACTACAGATTTATAAATATTAAAGGTAGTCAGTAAATCAGTAAATTTATATTTAATTAAATAATATTATTTTTGTTATTATTGTTAAATAGATGAAGCCGAAAGTGCTGTATTTGGTTCAATAATTAATGGAGTTTTTGAAGGAAAAATCATATCACCCAAAAAAGGAAATTATTTTGTAGAAAAATCTAAAAAATACATCCATCCTCATGGTCTTCTTAAAGATAATGAGGATTTTCATTCTGTTATATATAAAGAAAATGATGTAGATAATCCATATCATAACTCTTCTAGTAAAGAATATAAATTATCTTACAAAATACAATATTTTATTAATAATACATTTAAACTAAATATTTTATTTTATAAATTACTTATTTTAGGTCATTTTAGCGGATGTGGAGTTGTAGGATCAACAAAACAAAATATGGAAACAATTCAATATTCTAGTAATCCATGGAATGTTCAACAGCCAGATGAAGAACGACCTGCTTATAAATATACAAGGCAAGCAGCTGACAAGCAACACCATGGACCAGTTAGAACTAAACGTGCTACTAAACCTAAAGAAGAACGTAATACTTGTTCTCTGTTTATTCAGACTGATCCTTTATTATGGAGGCACATTAAAGAACAAGTACTTTATTTAAAAGTTATTATTGATATTTTTGTTAATCAATATTTTTTTTATATAGGTTGGTTATGATAAAACAAAGACAAGAGAAGAGATATTATCATTAATAGCTCATCATGTAACAGCAGTGAATTATATTTATAGAGATACTAAATTTGATGGGCGTATTGAACACAGGAATATTAAATTTGAAGTTCAAAGAATTAAAGTAAATACCTAATAATACATAGGAAATAATGTAATTTTATCTCAAGTTTATTATATAGTACTTTAGTAAATAGTACTTAATAACTTAACAATAATATTTGATTATTTTATAATTTGTTTTTAATAATTCCTTATTCCTTATATTCTCTCTTAGATTGATGATGATGAGCCTTGTGATCACAAGTGGTCTGGAGAACAAAATCCATTTTGTATGGAAAATATTGATGTTAGTAATTTTTTAAATCTGCATTCATTAGGGAACCATGAGGATTTTTGTTTGGCATATGTGTTCACTTACAGAGATTTTACTGGAGGAACTTTAGGTTTAGCTTGGGTTGCTAGTGCATCTGGTAATTGAGTAAATTAAGTAATTTAATGTTAATGAAATTGAGATATATTTTATTTTCTTATCAGGAGCATCTGGTGGAATTTGTGAAAAATACAAAACTTATACTGAAACTATAGGTGGTTTATATCAATCAACTAAACGTAGTTTAAATACAGGTATTATTACATTTGTTAATTACAATAGTAGAGTTCCACCCAAAGTTTCACAGTTGACATTAGCCCATGAAATCGGTCACAATTTTGGATCACCGGTTTGTAGACATTTTAAAGTAAAACTTAAATTTAATTTAATTTAAATTTTTTTTGTTTTCATTGCAGCATGATTATCCTTCAGATTGTCGACCAGGTGGTTTGAATGGTAATTACATCATGTTTGCATCTGCCACAAGTGGTGACCGTCCAAACAACAGTAAATTTTCTTCATGCAGCATAGCTAATATCAGTAGTGTATTGGATGCCATACAAGATAATAAAAAAAGAAATTGCTTTAAAGGTTCATACTTCGTATTAGATATTATTTAATTTAACCGAAATGTAATAACCTATTGTTTATAAAACAGCTAGTGAAGGAGCATTTTGTGGGAATAAAATTGTTGAAGATGGTGAAGAGTGTGATTGTGGATATGATAATGAAGAGTGTGATGATAAATGTTGTTATCCTAGACAAGTTTCTGATAATGATAGGTTTCGTAATATGTCTGCTAGAGGTTGTGCACGTCGAGCATCAACTGAATGCAGGTATGTACATAAGAAAAGTTTAGTTTTGGTGTTACATTAATAATATATAATTTTTTCAGTCCTTCACAAGGTCCATGCTGTTATGCAGATACCTGTCGTTTTATTCCATCTAGTCGTTCGGTTATGTGCCGTGGAGAAGGTGACTGTAGTTATAGTTCTTATTGTGATGGTACTACACCTGAATGTCCAGTACCTCCTCCTAAGCCTAATAAAACCCGTTGTAATGAAGGAACACAGGTATATTATTAATTTTATTATACATTGTTTCAACACATGTTTCATTGTAAGTTTAATTAAAAATTTGTTTTTATAGCTTTGTATTAATGGTGATTGTACTGGTTCCATTTGTTTGGAGTGGGGACTAAATGAATGTTTTTTAACATCACAAATTATACCTAATATTGATAAACGCAAGCTATGCGAGTTAGCTTGTATGAATGGCACTGATTCACAAACTTGTCGGTCAACTAGTGAATTTGCTGCTGCTGTTAATTTACCTCCTGGTGGTATTAGTCTTAGACCAGGATCACCTTGTGATAATTTTCAGGTATATTATTACAAAAAAAAAAAATTTTAGAACAATGAAAATACGTATTACATTTTTTAGGGTTATTGTGATGTGTTTTACAAATGTAGAGCAGTTGATGCTGAAGGACCATTGGCTAGATTAAAAAATATGCTTCTTAACAAACAAACACTTCAGACCCTTCAACAATGGGCTTTAGTAAGTTATTATTTACATATATTGTATTAAATAGTAGTTATTCAATAAAATAGGCATATTAAGCATATTTTTTCTTTTTATTTGATATTTTATAATTTTTGAAAGAATAATATCTATAAATATTTGAATAATACTTCAATACTATATGAACTTATTTAATTATATCTAATAAATTATTATTACTTCTAGGAAAATTGGTGGGCTTGTATGCTAATGGGTGTTACATTTGTTATTATAATGGGTGTGTTCATAAAATGTTGTGCAGTACACACGCCGTCTTCAAATCCAAAAAAGCCTCCTGCGCGAAGATTTAGTGAAACATTGAGACGACCAATTACAACTTTGCGGAGAATGGTAATTTATTAATTAATGTTGTTAGTTTTATTTTTACAATTAATAATACATTTTATTATGTAGCGGCATCATCCTCAAGCTTATGTGTCACAACCTAGATCAAGTAGGGTTCCAGCTCATGGATATGGTGAGGGTAGAGGTCATTATTATGCACCAAGAGGTAGTAAATAACTGAATCAATTATTTTATTTACCCACTTTTTATTATTTTATTTTACAGCTTCTGCGCCACCTGCTCATGGTCATTCCGATCGCCGAAATGCATTCCCAATGAGGCATCAGCCACAGCATAAAGTGTGATAGTAAGTTAATGATAAATTAATAAACTATTCCAATAAATGTTCAAATAGTAAATACTATTTAGGTGGATGAAACTAGTTTAAAAATTAAACTAAACTACAATGTCCAACACTAAATTTAAAACTGAATCCATTTTTTATTTTTCACATTTAATACTATTTATTTTGCAAGTAAAATTATTTTAGATTCTACAATTATAATTAACTGGATATATAATGAAATATCATGATCAAAGTTTGGAATCAAATTGATTTTAAACATGATGTTTCAAGTTACATTTATAAGTTTTGTAACAGTTTAATGGTAATAATTTATTTATTGTATCCATATTCATTGTGATTTTCTTGGTATTTTTTCACTTTTGTACTAAAAAAAAATAATTAGGACCACTATTTAAATGTTTAATCCACCTAAAATTAGTAGAGTGTTGAATTAATTGATATTTTAATTTTTAGTTGTCAAGTTTGACAGCCCTAAACCAAAGTTGATAATGCAGTCCGAAATATTCGGTATTCTTATCATTGTGGTTAGAAACTATTAAATTTATTTATGTATTTTTTTTTTTTTTTGTATATAGCCGAATGAAACCAAAGTGATTGAGTTAATTATAAAAATGAAATAGTTGTCCAATCACCCTATGAGAGGTGCTGGTCACAAACAAAGGCAGATTAAAATTTGACATATAAATCATATATTTTTCATTTCTTACAAACATTTTTTTTATCCAAATATCTATGACTAAAGTTCTCATGTTTATTGAAAGTCTACCTTTATACATATAGTACTATTTATTTTGAGAGTTCCTGAATTTTAAATCTAGGATCAAGTAAACTATTTATGGTAAAACTTACCAAAATAATTTATTTAAAAAAAAATGCCAGAGCATTTTTGTATTTAATTCCATAATTAATTATATATTAAGAATTCATACATTAAAATGTAATAGAACATTGCATACAGTTTCATTCCTGTCAAATGTTTTGGTAATATTAATAACATTTAATAACATAATATTGATAAACTTGACAGTATTAAATAATTGTAGATATAAATAAATATATAATAATATTATAGTTTCCTATAGACCTCTTATATGATTTTTCTGTATAATTATTTTTGCTCATTACATTATTATACATCGTATATATTTTTTATACAATCTGCCTTTGTTTGCTTGATGTTTTCTCCGCCAAATATTTTATTTATATAATTATATATCTTATATTATTATATAATCTTCCTATTATTTATGTATAACACATGAACAAAATATTACCTACTTAAAATTACTTCATTTTCACAAATACTTATTAAGTTATCATAATAAATTAGTCTAAATGTATTACAAATATATGTTTTATTGAAAAAGACATTTTTTTAAATATATATATATATATATAATATGTATGTATAAAAATATATTCATATAAATTAAATATTTAATGTATAAAATAATAATAATATGGGGCGTCCTAAAAAATGGCAGTTATTTATCAGCTAATTTATTTATTGTGTCAAGTTATTTATAATGTTTTAGTTACAACCAATAGGATTAATTAATTTATATTTCTCTTTTATGGACGCCTTTGAAAATACACCATTGGTAGTTTAATTAAGCTATACTTAATATATTTGGTTTTCCTACCATTTATAAGCTTATACATAATTTTTAAGCTTCTATTGTTTCAATGACCAAATTTTAAAAACTGTTAACTGCCCTACCATTTTAGTTTTCTACTTTATTTTTACTATTTTTTATTATAAATTATTTTACTTTTAATAATATTATTGTGAAGATAATTATTGTGTTTAATTGGTTTGTTGTGCTATTTAAAGAAAAGCTGAACAAATAACTAATGATTTTTTTTTTCTTTATACAAAACATACTGGACTTAAATGTATACTAAAACTTTGACCAACTTCATTAAAATCTCGTAAAACTATATCTATGATTGGTAATCGAGATGGACGATCAGTTGTGTATGAAATTGTTGTTTTTCCCCATTGTTCTTTTCTAGTCTAAATATGAAAAATAAATAGCATTATTATTACCAACCTATTAAAACATTAAATTTAATTATTCTTACCTTGCATTCATCTTCAATTGCTTTATACCTCATTTTTGGATTTCCTTTTGGAGTAATTTCGATGTCATTAAATCCTATCAATTTTAATCCTTTTTTGTATGATTTTGATTCAGCATCATAATACCCAATCGTATTTTTGCAATGATATGTTAAATTCTGGGTAGCTGACACAGATAATAATTGTAGAAAACTAATCTGATTGCTATCTGCTTTGTAAGATATCTATAAGCCGATTAAATCATTAATGTTGTATACATTATTTTCATTTTCATTTTTACAACCTTTGCAATATTTTCAAATTCTGATAACCAGATTTCTGGTTGAGGTTGTTTATTATTAAAATCTATTGGTCCGATATGATCTGGTTGAGGTATTACACATGTACTCTTAGTAACAGTATCACATCTTACTAGTACTGCATCACGAACATCACCTTCATTGGGATCAATCCAATATTCTCCTAAAACCCATTTGTTTTATTAACCTAGCCATGATTGTTAAAATTGAACTCTTACCGCTTCCAAAATCAGGGTAAGCAGCGTATAAATCTTTGCATGTTTTTGCTGGACTATCTTTTTCACCATTTGGTTTCTTAAACTTTTCAAATGACGTTTTTAATTTTTTATAGGCGTTTAATATCAGTTGGCTTTTCTCTGTTTCTGTCATTTCTTCTGGTTGATCTTGATGAATACCATCACTTGGTCCCTATTTCAATCAAATTTTAATATTTTGTAAAATATTAAGTCATATACTTATTACCTTACTGTGTCCTTGTGATAATAAAGCTGTTAATGCTGCCATATCGTATGCTAAGGCTTCACCTGGTGGTCCTGGTGGACCTGGTAAACCTGATGCTCCAGGTTCTCCATCAGAACCTCGTTCACCAGGTAGTCCTGTATTATAATTATTATCGCTAGTTAAAATAATAATTCAAATATTTTAAAACACAATAAAAATACTTACCTCTTGGTCCAGGTGGTCCCATTGAACCAGGTAATCCCGGATTTCCATCTTGTCCTGGTTCTCCTAAAAAAATTTAATTATTTTCAGTAATTTTGCTCTATTATTAATTGAAATTATTAGTATTCATCTAGCCAACAAGTATTATTACTGATTAATTATAACAGAAAATAAGTAACCAATTTAGATATGTCAATAATTTACTCATATGGCTTTTAATTTGTTTTCCCCTCAATTACTATCATTAATAGTAACATAGTTAAAATTAAACATAATATACTTCAGTCCATTCATTATATCTCGTAGGTATTCTTAAAGAGATTCACACAAATCCTTAACGGGTATTACCTATTTACCTGTACCACTGTAATTCAACTTAATGGTTTAGGCATTCCCATCTTAAAAATATAATTGTTCAGTGTAATTTCCCTTATTTAATCCAATTAATGGTTATTATCATGTCAATATTAATACTCATCTTCTAAACCAGGGGTCTTCAACCCGCGGGCCGCCCTGTCATAATATGTGGCCCGCGATCACATTAGAAATTTACCATGTATATTTTCTATTTCGATAAAATTATAACGGCTAAGCTATCGATATCAGAAATAAGCGATACCTAAGTTAAATTAAAGTACCTACCTAGATATAAATGTAGGCTGTTGTTTGTTAGTTTGTAATTGATTGTGAAACGAGCATAATACTCGTTTATGTGTTAAAGTTTCAATTTCATACATTTTCTTCATAATATTTGTATAATATATCAGTGAGTAAAAAACGTAAAATCTCGGATGAAATTTGCGTTTTTCAAGAAAAATGGTCCAATAATAATTATTATTTTTTTATTCAATTTAAAGAAAAGGCAATATGTTTTATTTGTCGAGAATCAATTGTTGTGATGAAATAGTATAATTTAAACCAACATTAGGGTACCTACCAAACAAGCAGTAAAATATGATATGATACAAGGTCAGTCTTCAAGTTTAAAAAAATGTCATAAAGACTCAGAAGCCAGTGTCAAAGTTATACCATAGTACAACAAATTGCCGCTAAATCGAAGCCGTTTACTGATGGTGAATTTATAAAAAAGTGCATAGAGGTAACCTCTGAAATTTTATGTCGAGCACAGTAACAACTTTTTTCCAAATTGAGAGTTTATCAGGAGTAACTTTAGCAAGACGTATAGAAGAACTAGGAAATGATATTGAGTGTACTTTAAAAGAACAAATTTTTAAATTTATTTTTTCTTCACTGGCTCTTGAAAAAGTACATATTTGTCAGATACTGCTCAATTAGCACTAAAAATCAGGTAAATCACATTAAAAATTAGTAATTAAAAAAAATATATTAATCTATACGTTTTAATTATAATAATAATTTTTAATTTAAAATGTAATTAAAATTGTAATAATAAAAATGAATTTTTGTATAAAATACATGTTTTCACTACGAATGCGACCCGCACGATTCTTAAAAATTAATACGTGGCCTGCTACATAATACGTAAGGTTGAAGATCCCTGTTCCAAACATTTCCATTTTTATTTTAAATTTACTTTCACTAATAAACTCATACTTATTGCTGCAGGGGCGTATTTAGACTTACTTCTAGGGAGGGGGGGACTCAAATTTTTTCTTCAATTTAGGCTCAAAATGTACAAGTAAAATTTTTGGCAATATTTATAAAAGATGAATCCTTAATATTTGTGGTTTTTTTTTTTTTTTTAATCTAATACGGGATCTACTTAGAAAGGTCTTTTTTAACACCTATCTGTGTTTTGAAAGTTTCACTTATATTTTGTCTAATTTTTCACTAAGTATGGACCGGGTCTTCAATCAAAATAATATACATTATTTATCGTTATGAGACATATAAACGTCATAAGCAATTGAGCGTTTAACGCTATAAATAATTTAAACATTATGCAATTTAAGAGTTTAAACGTTATACAAATTTAAACGTTTAAAAAATTTTCCGTTTACCGTTATTGACAATAAAAACGTTATGAAAAATTTAGCGTTTTGCGTTATTTAAATTAGTGTAAAATTTGAAACGTTTTCAAATGTTGTAATACAGTCGACTCTCGTTAACTCGAACCTTGATAACTCGAAATTCTCTATGTCTCGAATAATTAAAATTCCCCTTCAAATAACAATTACACTTAATGCTTACATAATCTTGGTAACTCGAAAATTCATTTGACATATTTTCGATATCTCGAATTTTCTTATCCAAATTTAGTACTAAAAATAGTTTATCAAGACGATTATTTTTCGCCTATCACTTGTTTTGAAAACCCCGGCCATTATAATCAACTAAATATTAGTAACTTAAACCTTGATAATTTCATACAATAGATTTCAGTTTTAGTTCTATATCGTCTGTTCGTTTAACCGTTTATTGAGCGAGTGTGACTGTGTTAAATCAGTGGTTATTATGGCTCAAAAAAGAAAATAAACAACATTATCACATGCAGAAAAAGTGAACTTACTTAGAATTATTGAAAAAGGTGAAAAGAAAAAACAAGAAATAGTCAAAGATTTTGAAATTCCAGCGAGTACATTATCTACAATAATAAAAAGTAAAGAGGTAATTTTGAAAAACTTTAATGAAAACTCGGAAACTCGAAAAAAATGAAACTAGGAGAATACTCTGATATAGAATCCTGTTTATCCTGTTTAACAAATTAGAAAAACAGAAATAATGTTGTTTTTAAACAAGCTTGTGGTGAAAGTGGCGCTGCAGATGTACACAAATGTTCCGTATGGATAAATAATTTACCAAAACTCATCGAAAATTATTCTCCAGACGATATTTTTAATGTTGACGAAACAGGATTATTTTTCAAATGTTTACCTGAAAAAACATTTATGTTTAAAGGCCAATCTTGTTCAGGTGAAAAACATAGCAAAGAAAGAGTAACACTTCTGTTAGGAGCGAATATGTCGGGCACAGAAAAATTAAGACCACTTTTGATTGATAAGTCGAAAAAACCACGATGTTTTAAACAAGTAAAATCATTACCATTAGATTATCATGCGAACAAAAAATCCTGGATGATGTCTGAAATTTTTAATTTGTGGTTAATGAAATAAGATAAAAAAATGGTCACCGTGAAAAAATCTTACTTTTTATTGATAATTGTACTGCACACAATTTTACTTCAACTTTAAATGCTATTCAAGTGCAGTTTTTACCTCCTAATACTACGTCTATATTACAACCATTAGACCAAGGCATAATAATTTTAAAATATTTTATCGAAAAAAAATGGTAAAAAAATTATATCGGCTATAAATGGTAACAATCAAATCATAATAAACATATTGGATGCTATACGGCTATGCGATAGAGCATGGCGACACGTAAAAAAAGGGACGATTGTAAACTGTTTTAGAACTTCAATTGAGAACGATGAAAACACTCCTTATAAACCTTCTGATGATAATAACGATGAATGGGATCAATTAACGGAGAAATTAAATAATGATGAAACCTTTACATCATACGTCAATGTCGATAAAAATTTGGATATTTGTGGAGAATGGACTGAGAACGATATTATCTCTGACATATTGGACGAAGATAACTAAGAAGAATTCGAAGACCAACAAGTACAATCCACCACCATTGCAAATAAAGAAGCAACACTTGCATTAGAAACATTACGTAAATATATTGAAGGCAATGAAGGTATGAAAGATTTATTTAAGCCACTCGGTATTTTAGAAAATAGAATTGAGAACAATATAGTGTTAAATAAACAAAAACAATTAATTTTACACCAATTCTTTAAAAATGATAACATGTAAATTTTTTTTTTTATTTCTTTAATGTAAATATTATATAAAAATAAAAACATACTTTTTAAGTTTTTGATAACTCGAAATTTTTAGTAAGTCGAATTTTTTTTTCCCCCTTGAACTTTGAGTTACTGAGAGTCGACTGTACTATAAAATAAATCATAATTTTTGTTTTTTAATAGTATACCCATTATATAAAAATTCTCGGGGGGGGGGCGATTGCTCCCATCGCCCCCTCAAATATGCCACTGTATTGTTGTAGAAATATGATATATTATTTATATAAAATATGTTATAATACCTTTTGATCCTGGTTCCCCTGGTGGTCCAACAGGTCCAGGATATCCAATATCACCTAATAAATTAAAAATATTTTAAAACTGATAAATTATATTTTATTAGAAAAGTGCTTTTTATTACAGTTTTAGAGTATTGTAATTTTAAATTAATTTAATTGTTTAGAATCATACCTTTTTGACCATCAGCTCCTGGAGCACCTTGTAGTCCTTGTAAACCCATTAAGCCTCTATGACCTGTTCAATTTTTAATATGTTATTCAAAAAAGTTAATTTTGATTTCATAGTGAACTTAATGATATTGATAAAAAATTGCTACTAACTTATAATACTGCACCTACATAAGCAGTTAATTAATTTTTCAATTTTTATTGAATTTTTGGTCATAAACCATTGACCTTTATAAAATATTTTGTTAGTTTAGTAATCCATAGTTATACATTTGAATGTTCTAAATTTTTACCAGTTTAACTATATTTTGTGAAAATGTCAATAATTAAATTGTATTAGTCCTTTTATGTAATATTTAGTTAGTTACAATTTCAAATTTAATAATTTATGACCTTTCATTCCTTCAGGACCTATGTCTCCTCGATCTCCTTTTTGACCTTGAATCCCAGGAGATCCTGGTTTACCTTTCAGGCCCTAAGATTAAAAAAAATAGCCATATATATAAATAAAATTACCATTCATTTAAATAAACTTACAGGAGGCCCTTCAACTCCTTGTGGGCCAGTTTCACCTCGCAAACCTCGTTCACCTTGATTTCCAATAGGACCAGGTAAACCTTGGGGGCCCTAAAGTTCAATATATTAATTAAATAAATGAACTCCTTTATATTCTTTTATATAAACATAAAACTCACCATCATTCCTGGTGGACCAGGATTACCCAAATTACCAGGAGATCCAGGCGGACCTAAATAATTTCAAATGTCTATTAATTAATTTGTTTTATGAAAACAAATATATTATAATTTGAATAAAAAAAATATTGTAAACATAATTTTAATATATTTGTATATTTATGTATATATGTATATATATTACTAGCTGACCCGACATACGTTGTATTGTCATTATTTTGTTTTGTTATTTTGAAAAAAATAACTAATTTAATAATAAGTGTGTAAGAATGTGGTATACGAGAATGTCGTATAAGCGGAAGAGTTATGGAGTGCTGTAAACGGTAACAAAATATAAAAATGAAAAAACATCAAACATTTATTTTTTAATAATTTATTACAATTGATCCTTTAAAATTATATACATCGCTAATTATGACAATATTAGTGAAAAACAATATCAATTCCTTGATGCAACAGAGTGTACAATATTTTTGGTTATCCCATCTTTTGCCAACACAAACTAGATGGTTCGAGAACACGCCACGTATAATTGTGTCCATGCGAAAAATATATGCTCAAATCTAAGCCACAGACATACATCGTTTAGCCTTGAGACTTATTGATAGTCATTGCAAATGCTAATCTAATTGGAAATTGAAGGCGTTTAAATTGTATTATCACATCTGTGGATATAATAGGGATTCGCAGTAATAATCTATTTTCACCTCGGAATTTGTCATTTAAAATGATGGCTTCGATAACATTTTTCATTAATTTTTTAAAGACTAATCGCGTGTCGTTGCACAACCGTGGTAGGTTCAAATTACGAAGCAAAATAACCGGAGATCCAACCTTCAATTGTAAATTATGCGGAGGCTTGACTGGTAAATCCAATGAGTTTAAAAAAATCTGTTAGCCTATAGTTAATTATAAATAATTAATACGAATTCGACAGCGTTAAGTTGACATATTCAAACAGTACATGAGAAAAAAAAAGCCTAATTAAGTATGCCCAAAAGTAAAGAACCGCGTGTGTTTGACCATCTCAGTGCCACTGACTTTCGATGACCTATAGTTGTTTCTATTGTTTGCACAACTGTTTTTACGGTACATAGATCAGTGACGTGACATTTATAATAACCGGTATTTTTATCTATTTCGTTTCGTCTTAGGCATTCAACGGCGACATGACCGCGTAGATGTGTCTCAAGTACAAGAAATAAATTAGAAAAAATACAAATACAACCTTTCTTAATAAATTTCACATCAATTATCAATAATAATATGATGCAAATTTTTTTTTTTTTTAGGTACGCAATAAATCTATAATACTAAACAAAATTATAAATAAGTTTACAAAAATGTGTGAAAATTCATTTGTTCTCTACAGTGTGAAAATCAAAATTCCAAAAATATTATTGTTGCAATAGCACACTGTTTTTTAGCAGCCTTTTTTTGTTGATCCTCTTCCAGTAAACGAAACACCATCCATTTCGCATTCTATTTCAAAACATGTTAGGATGTTAGAATGAATTGTTGTTTCAATGAATTAAATACCCGGTGCCATTTGATGCAATAAATGTACAGGGTTATAATTTTCTGGTTTATTAGGAAATTTTTTCATACCACCAACCTTAGGTGGAGGTCTTACTGTTTCTTCTGGTATAACTTTTGAAACTGACTGTAATTTCCATTGAGTTATCAAATTGTGCATAGTCAATGAAACAAAGTGTGACCATGGGAAATCTTCCTCAGATGGTCCTTTAGGTTTTGACTATGTAACACTTTCATCCTCCACTTGATTTCTCGAAACATTCACTTTTTTTTCTGCTCTTTCATTAATTTTTTTTTTCATCATAGCACGCAAAAAATGTTCACATGCTTTTTGTTTTGCTTGAGTTTTAGAAACATGATCTCCAGTACAAACTTGTCCATCGATTTCAATTGAAGCAGTAAAAACCGCAAAGCTATTGTTATGTAGATGACCTTCCAATTTAATTGGTACATCTTTGTACAACAAATAAAATACCATTAATGAACTCTTGGAACATTCTAAACTTCGCTTTCGGACATTGAGTCGCTTTTTTGTTCTCTCTTATTAATATTACGTTTGGTTGGCCATTTGATTTCTGTTTTTCCAGATATTGATTCATCCACACATTGACCATCCTTATTTTTAATCAAATTATTCTTATCTTTGACTGTAGATACCTTTGAAAACTCAGAAACTGGATTTTGAACTTGTGACAGAGAGTATTGGATTGGTGGTGGCAAATTATTTAGGGCTATATTTCGTTGATGCATAAGAGTCTGCCCAGTTGATTTGGCTATTACAAATGTTGTTGCATAGGGCATTTTTCTTGCTTCTGTTTTCCACAAAAAACGGCCGAACAGTTTTCATTTTTCTCGTGTAATCACTCTCTCTTGAACTCTTAGAGTTATACATAATGACTGGTTTTCCTTGAATATCAGAACAGTACGAAATTCTTTTCAAGTTTAACAAGCAAGGCGCAAATTAATTATTCCAAAATATCGGGAAACTTCGGAACGAAAAATCGTAATAAACGATAAACTAAATAGATATAAATAAACAATAAGCCGTCAACAACTTTTTGCAAGTCAAGGCAACGAAATACCAGTACTACTAGTTGCAAATATTTCTACTGTATTACATTTCTACTTGCCTTGTGCTCAGTATCTGTTCAGGACACCGCGTACCACTTACAGAATACAGACGCATAGTAGCATCGCAAACTGTCTCAATAGATTTGTATGACACCAAGTCTCCTGGTAACAAATGTTGTATCTTGAGATTCAATTCATTGATGTCCACATTTTTTGCTGCTAAAATTGCTCTTTCTGCCAGAAATTCATGATTCGTGTATTGTCTGTGTATATTGGGAAATATATGGTCAATGAAAGCATCTTGTGAATCAATGATAGTGCAGAAATCGGTCGGTAATTTTATACATTCCGTTTCATCTGTAATAACGTTCCCATCACCGATATCTAATAATTGTTTTGAAAATCTGCCGCACGCAGCTTTTTTTGATTGAATCGCAAGTATTGTAATCGTTTGCTCTCTATTTTTACATACATATCGACCATGAATTGTTGACCAAGCTCACGCATCGTAGAATAACGTTGTCCCGATCGCGTCCAATCATCAACCTATATGCATAATAATCCTTCGAACTAACATTCTTATTTGTTTTGGCACCTGTTGCGGGATCTTGTTTAATATTTATGCAATACCCATCATTTAACACCAAAAATAAAATTAATAGTTTTTAAATAGTCTTTAATAGTTTTTTAATAGTTTCATTTAATAATTAATTTTCAATCGTGCAGTTATCGACCCGGTCAAAAATTATTAAATTAAACTACGATTTACCAAACAATAGCACTTTTCCAACATTTTTTTTCGTAAAAACCTCCTGGCAATTATGAATAATTAAAAAAAATTTGAACCAAATCAGCCCAGTCGTTCTCAATTGATGAAATGTTATACATTTTTGGCTCAATTTTTATGTATATAGATTAATATATTTATTTAATATTAATATTAATTTAATAATATACATAATATTATATTGTTATAGATACCTTTGTCTCCCGGCCTTCCACTAATTCCTGGTACTCCAGGTAAACCTGTTGCTCCATCTTGACCTCGTTCACCTACAAAATATTATTATATCAGATATAGATTCGTTATATTCTAGTATTTAAAATGTAAAAACAATTTGATTATTTTACTTATGTTATATATATTACAAACCTTGAGGCCCCGGAACACCTGGAGGTCCGGCTAAACCTTGGACTCCCTAATAATAGATAAATTTTATTTATTTACTCTATATAGGTATTTTAAATTAAATTGGTACCTGTAAACCATCTGAACCTGGTTTCCCCGGTGATCCTTTTTCACCCTTTAATATAATAAATTATTGATGAATATATAAAAATTTAAGATTTAGTTAAATTAGAAAACTATTGTAGCTTATATTAAAAAAAACAATTTTCAGAAAAAATATAAAATATATTATCTAGGCTTCAAATATTCAAACGGTCCAAGAATTTGATGTTTGTCTAAAAATTGTGAAAAATGTAAATAAATATCTATTTACATTATTTTAAAATGTACACATTTATTTATTTAGGTTTTGAAATACTAAGCCTAGATTATATTTGTATTCCTTACTGGTGATCCTTGAGCTCCTCGCATTCCCATTGGCCCTTGACTGCCTGGAACACCGGGCAGGCCTCTGAAACAATATCATTATAATATTGGTTACATTTAGAATTGATAAACGTAAAATAGGCACCTTTCACCTGGAGCCCCTTGAGGACCAATGGGTCCTGCAGGTCCTGGTACTCCATCTGCACCAGTTTCTCCTTTAATCCCTGAAATAAACTGGCCATCAGTATCTAATGTTTATTTGATAATTTCTCTTGAGTATCAGACATTCTTAATTTATATAAGGTGTATTTATTTTAGAGATGGGCATGAAATCCGAATACCTGTATTATCCGGACATCCGGATATTCAAATCCGAATTTGAATCAAATTTTTCTCTGGATTTGCTGAAGTATCCGGACTATCCAGATTTATGAATTTGCTTTTGAAGTGAAATTTCTTTATTAAGGGTATGACAAAAATATTTAGTCACGTGACTGACTGATCAGAATGAAACGACTGACCGACACGCTAATAAGGCGCATGTACGTCGTATATCTGCTACGCAACGGTCAGTATACCACCCCACTACTCTTTTTTTTTTCTGAGCCCAACTTAACGGTTATTGGAATTAGAGACCCTGGACCCAGGGAATCTGAGTTTTTATGGCCGCAGAGTAATTTCTCCCATTTGGGAATAAAAGTCCCCACCCCCTCATTTTGAGTTAGCCATAACTCAGTGGGGTTAGAATTTAATGACTCCGGACCAACTGAGAACCGTTCCGAAGGTGCTAGACTACAGTTTTATGCTTTAAGGAACGGAGCATCCCTCCTTCCTTTTTGCATTTTTGATTTTTTTCTGTATTTCAGTCCAGGATTTCACTAGGACCCACCCCGCCGCTGGGAAACGCGGGGTTTTGAATTCTCCCTCCCTTGCTAACTTCAATGGAAGAGATCAATTGCCATTGGTGTTAAGTGGAGACTTTAATGTAAACTTTGCTTCAAAATTTGAATGGTTATTGATTAAGATTTTCTGAAGATAAGTTGAACTTATACTACAATACAATATAATGAAATTTATGTCAATATAAAAATGAGTAATTGAAGAGCAAAATTGAATTGGATAATCCATGAAATCCGGATTTCCTAAATTCGAATAATTCGGATTTGTCAAATCCAGATATGCCCATCACTAATTTATTTATTTTAAATTATTAATATTTTATGAGTACATAATTTAATAATTGAATGTTACTTACCTTCGAGTCCTCGTAATCCTGGTGCTCCAATATTTCCAGGTACACCTTGTTTTCCCGGTTCACCTTGCCAGCCTTTGGGTCCAACCAAACCTATTGTAAATAATTATATTTAATAGATAAGCATTTAATGTATGTATATTGGAATACAGTGTAATAACCTAACCTGGTGGTCCAGAAGGTCCAGTTGGTCCAGGATATCCCTAAAATAATTGTATTATTATATTTATTATGACCAATAATAGATTTTAAAAAATGTCGAAAACTAATATTATATAATTATTTTTACCGGTGGTCCTCGTTCTCCAGCTCTTCCCGGTATTCCCATTAAACCTAAATCACCTTTAATACCTTGATCCCCACGACTACCTAAAATATCACACATGTATATTATAATTTTTTTTTTCATGTAAAAAATACTACAATAAAAAATAATCATTAATATAATTCAGATGATCTATATTTTTTATTTAAAATAAATACCTTTCGGGCCAACTAAACCCATTGCACCAGGAAGGCCAGGTTCACCAATTTTTCCGATAGGTCCGGGATTTCCTTGATCTCCTTTCATACCTAAAGTTGATATTAAATAAATATTTACCAATGTTCTTTAGAAGTCATTAATTTGTGGTTATTTATGATTAATATACTAACCTCCATCTCCTCTATCACCTTTAGGACCTGGCATACCTGTGTTCAAAAATATATTAAGTGCATTTGAATTAACATTTATTAACATTTTAAATTATCTTACCTACTGATCCTGGTGATCCAGGGAAACCTTGAACTCCTTGAGGTCCAAATGGTCCTCGCTCACCAGGTGTTCCTGAAAAGAAATATAGGTAAATAGTTTAAAAAAAAAAATTAGAAAACAATTATATTTTATTTAAACATTTTAATAAAAGCCTTGATAGATTTTGTTTTTTTATTAATATTTTATACCAACCTGGTGCGCCTGGTTCTCCTGGAGGACCTGTAGATCCGGGCTCTCCTCTTTCAGCTGGTTCACCTGGTGGACCAATTGGGCCAACAAATCCTTGCGGCCCTCGTTCTCCAGCAGGACCTTATTAGTTAATAATATTAAGATTAAAAAAAATTAAAAATATAACTGTCGTCATTTATTTATAGGCGTGTTGAATTTTTTTAAAGAAATAATTACAAATATAAAATGTTAAGTTTTGTGATATATTTTACACTTATTTTTTAGTATAATTTAACTATTAGTTATTATTAATAGTAGTTAAAATAATAAATACATTTCTCGTTTTACTCAGAATCTAGATTGATAAATTTACCTGGTGATCCTGAAGGTCCTTGAGCTCCAGTAGAACCTAAGATAATAGCAATAATACATTATTATATATCTTGTAACGTAATTTTTAAGGGGTATAGGTATCGTACTCCTTCTCTATGACTTTTTTTTTATAAAACTTTTTTAATAATGTATTGATAAAATTAATAAAATTACATAAATAAAAAAAATATCTGTGGACTATAAATACAAATACAATTTAAGAATCATTGGCACTGTGATATAAACAGTAGGGAAAGTAAATTTCTAAAAATTGGAAAGTTGGAAAATTGTATATTGTCCTTTAAAAGTTAGTCTAATTTTGCTACTGTATATATCTACCTATCACTTTGTAATAAGTTAATTGTAGATTATATTTATTACATTCTATTTTTAAAAATAAATTACCTTGGTTAGAAAAATCTATAATGTTCCAATTTGAAAATTTACTAGTTTTAAAGCATCATTTTAAGAATTATGAAATCGTGAATTATTTTTGTTTACATTGGAAATATATTTATCATATAATAAATTCTAAAAACTTAGATACTTAAATAAACGGCTAGAAAAATTATGCATTGAAAACCTACAGTAAAAGGATTCTAAAATTATTAATTAGCCGTCTAAAAAATTATTTAAAAATAATTTAATTTTATAACCATTAAATTAAATTTCAGAGTAGTATCTTTTAACTGTTACAAAATTACCAAAAATAGGTTTAATTACGAATACCATAAAAAAATGCAAAAAAATATTAGATATTTGAACTCTATGATTTATGAATATAATTTTATATATGATGAGCTATGTTCTGGTCCACTATAGAGAAAAAATACTAATGCTGCAAATTTCTAGCCGTAATTATAAATAACATTTTAGAGGCATACCTCGTTCTCCTTTTAAACCTGAAATTCCTGGTTCACCTCTTGATCCTGGTAAACCCTATTAATGTATAAATTACAAATATGATTTATCATACACGTAATATACTTCATCAATAAATATAGCTAGTTATACATTTTAATTTACCATTAAACCTGGTGATCCGGAATGTCCTTTGTCACCTCTGATTCCTTGTGGTCCCTAAAAATGTAGATTTATTTATTGATCTTTACTAAACAGCTACGGTAACATAAATTACTTGAACACATATTAAGTAATCTTCTCTTATTCTAAATTTATTATAATTATCGGACAAATCAGATATATAAAGATAGTTGTTACATTTTTTATGATGTTGGTTGTTTCATCTGTCATAGTTGTAAAACACATTGATTTATTTATTCTATATTTATAAATATAAATATTATATTATATTATATTTTATTTATAATATACTTATTTTATATTTATATTTAACTTTATTTTGAGGGAATATTTACTCTTTTGGAAGACACCAAGGCTTGTTTGTTCTTTGGTACTCAAATCATTAATACAAAAATTAACAAATTGTCCAATATGAACAGATAATTAACGGAGTTAAGTAACAGCTTATTGTACTTTTCCGTGATTATTAGAACTTAAATATCTGAGTTGTTAATTTTTCGATTTAATTTTTTTTGTTTTTCGATTTCGCCTTATTGAAAACCAAGATGATAAATTAGTTTGTGAATATATAATCATTTTTTAAAATAAACGTTCCATGATCGTAACTATTTAAATAAAAAATCAACTATGTACCAAAAAGCAAACGTCGTGTGTATGATTGAAGGCGCTCCGTAATTAGTAACAATGGCATAAACAAAATTCAATATACTACTCTACTTACTATCGATTTCCAAAATAATTAAGGTTAAGTGCTGTAGTTATTATGTAAATTGTATATTTAGTTTTATGAAAGCACCTATATTAAAATTAGATATCGCTTAACACAATATAAATATAAAATACTCTTCTACCTTTTTATTTTCTAGTGTCTTTTAATCCTAGTGATACATGTATGATGTGCCAATTTTAAATCTAATACGAATTTTAAATCAAAAAAAATTTTGGTGAAGAGATTTGAACCCTCTATCTGGTAGTAGCTAAATATTAATTCTCGTTTAATTAGGTACAATAATTTAAATAAGGAAAATAAGATAGTTAAAAAAGGATTAGAATTTTAAATTTTCATAGCTCTAATAAAGTATTGAAAATAAATTCTATAAATATTCAAAAACAATTATTATATCCTTCAATATCAAAAATTATAATTCATATTTAAAAATAAAGTAATAAGTAATATATAAAATTAAATTTGGTAACGGCTTAACAAATGACAACTTCCAGTCAATAAGAAAGCAAAAACTTACCACAATTATTTAATTTTAGTTTTTAAAGTGAGAACTTTATTGCGCGCGCTTGGTTGGGGACCTATTTCGTTGAACGTCCGCGTCCGCGTCCGTCTAGGATGGGATCATGGTGCGGGGCGCGCGCATAACAGCTGCGACTCTCCTCTCTTCAGTATCTGTTCGCGCGCAGGCAGCCAAGCACAGATTCTTTTTCGTCTCATTTTATACAACTCTGTGTATACACGGAGCATAATATCGCGGATAATATAATATAAAATATACGATACGGAGAACTAAGTATCGCCGGACACCGCTTTAAATTTTATTTTATGAAAGAAACTTATACGTGATTGCATGCTCCTTCTGAAGTTTGTATCGCGACAAAATGAGTGATACTGATAGAGAGTGTGAACAGTGAAATAAAATAATTAATATTAAGATGACATATGTATATTTGATTGTTATTTTGTAATAATATTTTGCATTTATAATAAAATAATGACTTAACATTGATATAATTTTATTATCAATTGCATTTATCATATCATGCCATCATAATATCTAACCTGAAAATATAGTTCTCGCTTATGCGGTTAGTCCCGCGACGCACCCTGTTATTTATATTTATATAACCATTTTAAAATTAAAATACTCACAATGGGACCTTCAGGACCAGCTACTCCTGATTCTCCTTTAATACCTTGTAGTCCTGGATGACCAATAGGTCCTCTTTCTCCTAAAATATATTTGTATTTAATGAATTTTATATAAATAAAAAATATTTATAATTAGCATATTAAAAATACAGTTCTTATATAAAATAACAATTACAAATCAACTTATGCACTTATAAATTTTACATATATTATTATTTTCATACATGCTATACTAACCAGGAAATCCGCGTTCACCTCTAGCCCCTGGTTCACCATGTTTTCCTGCTGGTCCTTGTTGACCTATAATTAGTTATATAATTAATTTTTGAATTTAACTATATATTTGACGGATTTACCTTGTTCACCGTCTTTGCCGGGTTGACCCGGATTTCCGGGTACTCCTGGTACACCCTAAATCAAATTAATTATAGAATTAAATTATGATATATATTATTTATTCTAATTTTTTAGTTCCAGTACTAACTTGAGAACCAATAGATCCTGGTGGACCAACTGTTCCTCGTTCTCCGTCCAACCCCGGCTTACCAGGTATACCTTAAATAATTATTCTTTGTTATATTTTAAGACGTCTCTATATTTGGGAATTTATTAGGATCTTGCTGTTAACCATTTACAATTTTTCAATGTCAGATTTTGTCATTTAATACTTTTGTGGGCAGTAGCACTAAACCCATAACTCAAGAGAAGTGACCACCCTTCCTTTTTTTCAGTGGTTACCCAAAAGAACTATGTATTAATTACTATACATTTCTATGGTGTAATAAATGGTGAGTAGCAAGAACTAATTTGGCGCCCCCTCCAAAATTAATTTTAGTTTGGCACCATTGAGTATAGTTATATGGGACCAAACGTATAAAAATTATAGTATATACTTAAGTACGCATTTACTTTGGAGTTGACATGATCGTTGTCACACATATGGTGAATTATAATATTCAGATGCTTATGTTAATCAGAACAATTTTTCGAGTTGTCAGTGGACAAATAAATATTCAACAATCATTTTACATTGAACCCAATATTTATCAACTATGTTTTATTATATTTATTTATTTTCATAAATATTATAATTATTAAAATTCTCTATCTGAAAATCGAGAACACAAGATGGTTGTTTTCGACAAAATAATTTTTGTTTGACAAAAGATCTTAAAAATGTAATACAAAATTCCATCTATATTACTAATTGATGAAAAAAATCAAGCATAGTTTAAAAATAAAAATAAAAAATACAAGTCTTTGAATATTACTTCTTAATTCCCATGCATCATCGTTTACTACGGAATGCTACGTCATAATAAGTGCTCTACAATTTGTTTTTTCTCTCGATTTTCATAACTTTCTCATAATTTCCGATTCCCAATCATGCCTCATTGCTATCTTATATGACTCTTTCCACTCTTTTATATCCCCTCTCGAACTCAATATAAAATCCTTAATATATAGCCTTAGTCTAGACAATAAAACAGTTAGTTTTCTTTGGGTACCCAGCCATGTTAGTATCATTGGTAATGAACGAGCCGACTACCTAGCATTTTGCACCAAATTACATTTAACTCTGTCTCCTTTTAAAATACCTGCTTCTAATATTCTTCCTATCCACCACAAACTTCTACGCAGTGCCTAGCAAACTAAACCCACCAAACTTTGCGGCATGGCACAGGCAGATTGTTTCAACTATCCCGACTCGTCCATGGTTTAAAGATTTAGTGATTTCCAGGCGATCAATCGTGAGCTACACTCGTCTCCGTTTAGGACATAGCTTATTACCTCATCATTCCTTCAAACTAGAACTTAACTCCTCACCCTTATGTACCCTATACGAAGAACAAACTATTTGCGATTTTCACCACCTCATCTTCAACTACCCTGCGCTACTCCCGAGAAGACAACTTCTTCTCTCGTTATTCTTTTCCCTTGGCTACATCACTCCCGATTTCATACTTCTTCTTAACTCTCGTACTACTCATATTATTCATTCCATCATTAATTTTATCTTCTCAGTTGGTTTTCTAATTTAAAATAGGGGAAAAAAAAGAATGTAGATGTTAATAATGTTTGTAAATAAGTCTGTCTAACCTTTTTTTTTTAATGTTATTATCATAATTGCCTTGCTGTAATGTTTATACAATAAAAGCAAATTAAAAAAAAAATAAATAAATAAAAATATTACTTTTTCATAAAACAATAAAAATCTCGAAAATATTACATAGAGATACAAACGCATTTTTAAACTGATACAAGATTTTTCATAAGATATTCTTTGTTACAAAAATAATACCTAAAAGTCACAAAAAATGTCTTATGAGCCTTACAAATTTTAATTTTGACTTTTGATAAAATTATTTATTTCATCGAATTTTATTTTTACTATATTAGTTTTTGAGAGCCATGGTATATTGGTTCTAAGTTTAAAATACCAATACATAAATCTTATTTGCCCATCCCCGTGTATCACCCGACCTAGGAATCTCGCCCTTTTTTAAATATAAATTTTATAATATGAATGGGGTATGGAATTGCCTAGACGAGTGGCCTGTACTTAACCGTCTTAGAACAGGCCATGGCCGTTGCGCTGATATGATGTTTAAATGGCGACTCCTAGTCAACACAACATGCGATTGCGGCAACGATAGATAGACCATAAATCACATTATTAAGGAATGTCAACTAAGGAAATTCAACCAGGGTATCGAAGGAATTCATAAGATAACACCAGAAGCATTAAGGTGGATAAGGGAACTAAACGTCCAACTGTAAACTATTCACACCTCACTTTATTATCTATCTTTATATTATATATATATATATATATATCACTATATTCAATCTATCATATATGTTACACATCCTAATAACCTTTCTATCTAAAACCCAATTTAATTTAATTTAATTTTTGTTTATAATTATATTTCATATTTTATATTTTATTTTATTTATTATTTAATTTCATCATTCGAAATATATATTGCTGTAAAGTTGATTTGTTAAGCCATTCGAATAAATAGATAAATAAATAAATAGTATGAATAATTAAACAATGTACTGTTGTATTTAATTATTTATTTTACTGTTGTAATATTTGCATGTATACTTACCAGCATTGCCTGGAGGACCTTCTTTCCCTGGATCGCCTCTGGGACCTGAGCAAAAAAAGTATGTTAAGATAGTCAAACGGCGTAAAGAATAGGCATTTTAACTACTCAACGGCATAGGAGTTTTTACAGTGCATAACATTGAATATATGTACATAATACATATATGTATATAAATCTTTATTATATACACTGTGTTTGTTCTCAAAAATTAACTCCAACCAGTAGCGGTTATAAAGAGCGTTAGGTAGATCGCCCCCCCCCTGGTATTTGGTTTTTTTAAATTCTCTGGCCAAACCTATCTACATTTTTAAACTTCAAACTCATAATTTGTTAACAAAATATTTTTCAGCAATATATATAAAATAAATAAATCTTAACAACTCAGTACTAGGAACCACACAAGGTAATTTTATCACAAGTAAAAATGTTTGTTGCCCTGCAAAGTGGGCACGGGTCAGCTTGTATTCTATATTTTAAATAATTTCTTTATTACATACATAGGTATGTTTGAATTTTAAACATATTGATCAATAATCGCTTTTTGGAAATGATTTGTTTATACATAAGTCCTTAAAATATTTATTTTTTTATATTTGTAACAGCTCTGGACATTGGATACATATTAAAGAAACTCTAAGTTTATTCGATTGGTTGGTAGATTAAAAACACATAGTAGTATGTAGGAGCATACTTTCAATAATAAAAACCTCGATGGTTATCCTATACGCCTAATTATGCCGGTTTAATTTTTTTATATTATAACTACGCTATGGTAAAATAAAGCTTCACACAAACCTGGTGCTCCGGAAGGTCCAACTTCACCATTTGCTCCAGGTTCTCCCTGTTTAATAAAGTCAGTTATTTTCATATTTAGGTATAAATGTTGTGTTATCAATATTATATAACACTAATACGTTTTTTTTTAAAAGTTAGTAATATTTCAAAACATTTGTGAGGTTGTATAATAATATAAAACTATAAACTACTTACAGTTAAACCTTTATCACCGGGTGGACCTATTGGTCCTGGCAAGCCTTGCAAACCTGGTGCTCCTGGTTCACCGATCTATGAAAATTATTTAAATGAATAATTTACATTCTCTATGAGCTTATCAAATACCTAAATATTTTTCTTACATTTTTCTACGATTTTCAAGAAAATAATTATGTGTTTTAGGTTTTATTTTAGGTATTTGTAGGTTCTTAGCAGAAAACATATTTTCGTTTCAAAAACAGCGCTATTTTCAAAATGTACTACGAAGGGCGCGAAGACCAACCGGGGGTGATGATAAGGGACCACTACCGACGGAAACGCCGGCAACGGTAATGCAGCTAGTCGGTTTTCAGTTTCTACCGGCCCGTTCGGTGACGAAGTGAGTTCGAAGGTTTTATGGTACGGTACCTCTCAGTGGGCACGAGTGGACACGGATTCCGAATACCCCGGAACTGATAAGCCATTAAGTGAACAGAATGCACGGAAAGATGATCTTTGACCTTGCACAACTCTTGACGGAGCACAGCTGCTTCATCCGGTTCCTCTACAGCATCGGCCGCATCCCGTTCGGCCGAGTGCTCATTTTGTGGACCATCCGACGGTTGTGCCAAAAAGGTGGACTCCCCGCGCTCGCTCCATCGACCGTAAATAGGAATGTCTTGTCCAAGTCATCGGACCATTTGGCCCGGGTGAACTCAATAAGTACTGGACAACTCGGTAAACTAGAGAGCAGTGGTTCATTTATAGGATGACGTAATGGCCGATAAAGAAGCAGCCATATAGCTACATATGGGTGGGCGAGATCAACAACGGCGAGGAAACGGGACGCGCTAACTGATCTTTATCCACTTCTACTTTCGATAGTGTTGTGAATGTTTATATATTTAATTTTAATTTTTTTGAGAGTGTGCACTTCTATGTGAGAAATTGTATAACTAGGACAATCTTATCCTCTCCCTCTCCAAAAGGGTGATCGTTTGTTATACAAGTTTTTTCTAATAAACAATGGCGATCCGCCATCTGAAGTATTATATCACAGTGTTCTCAGGTATTGAGTATGAAGCCAATTAAAAGTATCATTGCTTGATAATAAACTGCATATTAATTAAATATAACTAACTTAACAAAACATCTTTCCGTTTTTTGATTTTTATAATACTAAAGTGGTATATTCTATATAATATGTTCAAAATATTACCTTTCCATCTGCACCTGGTATACCACGTTCACCGGGTGGTCCAGATTTTCCTGGAGGTCCTGGTTTTCCTATTGGTCCACTTAAACCTTGTAGGCCTGAATATTATATTAAAATAATTAGTTGTATAACATAAACAACAAACATATCTGATAAATAATAAATATATATAAAGATATAACGAAAAATCATGGCGTTTCATACCTGGCATTCCAGGTCTTCCTGTGTCGCCAATCGCACCTACATAAAATAAAAATGTTAAACCAATTTTCACAAAACTCTACAATTATAATAAAATTATACCTTTTATACCAGGGGGTCCTTCTGATCCACGATCACCAAGAGATCCTGAAAAATATTTAGTGTAAATTATTTTTATAAAGCTTTTATTGGATTTATATTTTTATCTAATATAATATAATATTTAAAACAATATAATATAATTATTTATTAAGAATTACAATCTAAATTACCTTTAGTACCAGGTGCTCCATCTGGACCTGGTAATCCACGTTCCCCTAAAAATAAAAGTATAATTAATTGCGTATAAAAAAAATTGATTTATTTGTTTTTAATATATACCTGGAAGACCTCGTTCACCCTGTATTCCAGATAGTCCTCGAGGTCCTTCGGAACCTAAATAAAATTTGACGATATATTATTACTGAATATTATGTATACAATTTCTTATTTATATAAAATTTATATTGTTTAATTTATTTTAAATCATTTGTTAGTTTATAATATTTTTCTTAAGATTATATACACACTGCTGTATTAAAATGGTATTAATAGAACATACCTTTTCTGCCTCGTTTTCCTTCAGGTCCATCCATACCAGGTAATCCTCTAGGTCCAGGAATACCTATAAAAATACATTTAATTAAACAGAGTTTGATTAATGAATAATACTCGTAGTTATTAAAATAATATAGTAAAACTATATTAAATTATAAAAATACATTTATATCTAGTATTGATATTTTACCAATTTCGCCTTTTATTCCTGATTCTCCTTTATAACCTCGTTCACCGTTCAATCCCTAAAATTAAACATACAATACTTAAATTTTCGAGGAGTACCTAATAATTGTTTTATTTATAAACAAATTTTTAAAATTACATCAGCTCCTTTTATACCAGGTGGTCCAACGCTACCTGGTTCACCGGGAGCTCCTCGAGGTCCTGGAAAACCAGAAGGACCAATAGGTCCACTTGCTCCTAAAATAAGTATTTCCCATTATTACTTTTAAGTTTGACATTTATTATTTTATTTCCTTTTAATTTCGATGTATTTAACATTTTTTAAACGTATACATAATTTTGAAAATTGTAATATTGTATTCAATACAATTATGTGACTTAGAAGTGATAATATAAAAGAGAAAAATTATACGCAGATGTATATATTCATTATATCTACGTGTTACTGATTTAAATATTATATCAATCTATGATACGGTTATAATGTTAATATATACCTGGACTGCCTTTTTCTCCCGGAGTTCCATCTTTTCCTGGTATTCCTGGAATACCTAGAACACATAAATTGTTTTTCAGTCAACTTTTTTGTTTATAAAAAATAAAGATAGTTATATTTATTTCGAAAATAGTAGAGTAATAATAATAATAATAATATATATATTATAATTTTTTATTTTATTTTGTATATGACATCGGCTATAGTATATTAACACACTATAAAGCAACAAAAATAAAATAATAAATTTATAAATGGGTTTTTGAATAGATATATATGAATAAATAAATAAATAAATAAATAAATAAATAAATAAATAAACAGGTAATAGGTAAATATAAAAGTGAAAAAGTAAAGAAAAGTAAAGAAAAAGTAAAGTATGTTAACAGCACGTAAATAAGTAACAAAATAAAATAATAACGTAACATAACATAACATAACAAAGTAACTACAGTTATAACTATAGTGTTTAAAGCTGTAATTACCATGTTATATATATTATAATACTATCCTTTTACTATAATAACTATAATAGCCTATATTGCCTATATTATAATATTATACTGCCCTTACCTGCTTCTCCGGGTTCGCCGGATTTTCCAGATTCACCCCTTGGTCCTTGTAAACCAAAACTACCCTGAAAACATTTTAAATCTCGATTTAAATCTTTAATGTGATCTTACAATTAGCAAGCATTCAATAAGAAAAAGTTTACTTTAAATAATCATCAAATTATAATTATTACTATATTGAACGAATATCAATAAAAATAATTGATACAAACCTTAGGTCCTGGTAATCCTTGATCGCCTTTCACACCAACCTATATTTAAAATACAGATACATTAGTTTATGAAAATTATTCTTATTTTTAACTAGTATTTTTGAATAATTATTCGTAATACAACATATTGGATTTTATAAAACAAAATTCTCATATTTACTTCAAACAATAATGTTATCTGCAAATAAATAAATCAGTTAATGTAATAACATACCGAACCAGGAAATCCAGGTGGACCTGGTTTCCCAATATTTCCCGGAGGACCAATAGCTCCATGTAAACCATCAGCACCTACATTTTTAAATATAATATTTTTAATCTTGACATGTCTTTAAATAGTTTTATTTACAAGATTTAAATGATAAATTAAAAAACAAATTTTTATATATAAGAACGAACTATTTAATATAACTATAGAATTTTAGGTATATTTCATTTAAATTAAATGGTTATAAAACAAACCACGAAGACCGGGTGGTCCAGGTGCTCCTTCTCTGCCTCGTTCCCCTCTAGGACCGATTGGACCCTACAATAAATAAATAAAAAACTTATATTAATTACCTAAACTTGAAAATTGTACTGTAATATAAAAATCACTGAATGTATTTATCTACATTAAATATTTATTTTTTACAGTAAAAATTTAATTTTCATTTATTTTATGTATATTTTAAATTAATAATCCCAAATCTTTTTTTACTCAACGCCCCTTTTAGATTTTTAAAAATCTCATCTCCTTTGACAAATTAAAAAAAATATAGTTTCATTTTTATAATTAACTATTTAGTTTAATCAAAAGATAAAACCCTATAAACAATTTTTATTTTAATATACTAAATTCTTAAATCTATTAATAATATTAATTATATAAATATAATATAAAGTTGACTATTAAATAATTTCAGAAAAATTACTCTTGACTATTGACTACCTTGAGGTTGATGATTTCCTGCTAACAAAATGATATTTGGCTCAATGGATGTCATTTTATTATAATGAGTTATGAACAATAAAAATGAAAGCCGCAATTGAATCCCCCCCTTAGAGCCCCCCTTCAGTTAAACACCCCCTCAAAAACAAAAAAGCCCCGTTGGGAATCACTATTTTAGATAGTATTATATTTGACTTTTCATAGATTTTTTAGTTATTCCTAAAAAATATACGTTACACCATTATTTTTATAGATTAAAGATTGAAAAATTAATTTTATATTTTATATTATTTACCGAAAATATATAGTTTTATTCAACTTCATCGACAATAAGTTATGAAATAGCTTAACCAATAAATGTTTTATTTTGAATTTATAATATTAATTGAAACAAACACTTACTACTGAACCAGTGATGCCAGGTTGTCCAGGGGACCCTATGGATCCCTTTTCACCGGCAGATCCTTCAATAAAAATAAATAATAATAATAAATATATAAACAATAATTTTAAATCATAAAAAAGAATATATCTATATAAATAACACTATAGTTAGACTAAACCCAACTAAATTTGATAATGATAATTTTTAATTTTAGAATTAAAAATATAATTTAAATTGCGAATATTTAAAATAAATTACCTTGTTCGCCTTTTATACCATCTACACCAGGGTATCCCATATGGCCCTATAATATATAAATACAGAGTAAATAATATATAATTATAATTTTTATCACATGATTTAAATTTCTTATATTTTAAAATAATTGTTTCTATAATTTGAGAATAGGTCATCATTTTTTTCTTAAGATAAATAAATTATTTATAATAAATTTATTATTTTTATTTGATTTCTTGAAGAGACTATTATTTTTATTGGTTTTTTAATTTTTTATGTGTAATTAATGTGAATTCTTAAATATTTACTTAGTATCATACAAGTGGTTTACCTATTCATTTTGTAGTTATTTAGGGTATAAAGTAAAGAAATTTAAAAAAGTAATCCAAAATAACTAAACAATTAATAACCTTTTGTATTTATCTAGTTATTATTTAAAACACCTACTCATACTATCATAAAAAAAAATTTTCATATTAAAACTGAAAAGTGATATTCAAATAAAATGAATATGTATTTACGAAAACAAAGAAATGTTCTACAAAATGTTATTTCATAGTATGAAGTATATAGGTATGTAAATTATATAATAAAAGATAGTTATGAATATGCTTTTTGTGGGTATAAAATAATAAAATGCAACTGAATAATAATAAGGTTAAATCAATAAAAAAACTAAATCACCTTTATTCCTGGTATACCTGGCATTCCAGGTAAACCTCTAGGTCCAGGAGGACCAATAGTACCCGGCTGTCCTGGTTCTGCATCATGTCCGCGTTCACCCTAAACCAAAAATATTTTTTATATGAATACAGTGTATTAAATACGAATAAAATAAGTGAAGATTTATATAATTTAATAAAAAATTACATTCAAATTTGGTTAAAAAAATGCATGTTAAAAATAAGGAATGGCATTTACATAATAAAATGATTATATAACCAACTGGTTGTTACGAAGGGTTTTCCCAGTTTTTGGGAGTCACTATAATCGTTTTATACTATGTACTATTCAAGAACCGTCTTTAAAAATTATAAATATTATAAATATTTTTAGGTCTCATGATTTAATAAAATTAACATCAACATTATCTTTATTAAATTATTTTAATATAACATCATTGAATAGGTAGGTACTAAGATAGTAGGTACTAATACCTTTTTTAATAAAACGCATGTGTCAAATTATTCATTATTGTATGAAGTAGAATATTTACTTACATCTCTGCCTGGTAAACCAGGAATTCCTCTTGGACCAACTGGACCTGGAGGGCCTATTGCACCTACGTCTCCTGTTTCTCCACGGGGTCCCTTAAAAAAATATAATTATTTTTATAATCATTAAAAATATTTAAAAAAATAAATAAATAATTTTAAGTAAATAATTTAATAACGTTTTTAAATAAATTTAAAACTAAAATAATACTTGAAATCCTTGAGGTCCAGGAGGTCCAGGAGGGCCAGGAGGTCCTCTCATTCCAACTGGACCAACTTGTGCTTGCATAGTGTGAAATGCTTCAGGTGGATAACCACTATTAATTGGACCTTTATCTTGACCTCCATGGACTTGAGCTAACTGTTGATAATATGTGCTAACATCGGGAGTGGGTCCTGGGAATCCAGGAATTCCTAAAACATATATTGATTTTAATAGAGTTCAATATTTTAAATGTTTATTTTAAAATAATAATTTTAAGTTACTAACCTGGGACACCCGGTGTACCTGGAACACCTCTTTCACCAATTGACCCAGGCTTTCCCGGTTCACCTTGTGGACCTGGTTCACCCTACATTATTATGTCATAAAAATAATATTAATTGTCCTACTATTTTTACAATAATATAATTTCAATTATTTATTGTGTTTATAATTCAATGCATAATTAGTCGTCACACTTTAACTTTTAATATGGTAACTGGTAAAATTTATTCAAGAAGTATAAATGTGACCAGTTATATGGATAGGGTATACTTACGACCTTTACTACTGCCCTTGAATACATTTTACTAATTAATTAATCAATAACATAGTGTATCTGTGTACCCAATGGCAGATTTAAGGGTTTAAATAAAATTGGAAAATCCTTAAGAGAGGCCTCGTACAAAATGTATCAATAATTTCAATACTTTCCCACTTTTTACCAAACCGATAATTTCGTGATAAATAATATTCAACTAATATTAATTTTCAATTTAATTTAATTTTTAATTCAATAATAATAGGTATATAAAATAAAATTATAAGATTATAGTTGAGAACCTCTGCGAACTTAAGCCTTAAAAAAATGTTTAATAAGATAGTTCATATCAAGGAGTTGTGTTACTCTATTTTTACTGTATTTTTAAGAGTTTCCATTAGAGGCATCAGACAATGAATATCAAATAATAGATTTCATAAGTTATAAACTCATAAAAGACTAGTGACCTGGTGATGATTATTTTAGTTTCCACGATAACAGAGTTCTTGGTATTGATGTATTTCAATTTGTATTGTACTGGTAAACCGAAAATAGTAGGTACATAATATTATATAATTTTAAGATAAAACATCATGTTGCGAAATTGATCATGAAATCATAAATTTGTGCATATATAGGGATTAGTAGGCTGTATCAATATAAACGATGATGATTATAAATAATCTTATTTGGGATCAATGTTGGTGGGTAGTAGGTATTCTTTATTCTATAGAATAACTTTGATTTTCATGTATAAGTTATTTGTTCAACATTTTCTATTTTTTTTTGATTAAAACACTTTCTACTTGTGATGCATTATATTAATATATATTATAATTATTTTATTATTAAAACAATTGTAAATTTTAGTCCAATTTGTATTGGATTTTTTTTTTTTTTTTTTTTTGTGGTCAAAATTTAAAAGGAGCAACTATATAATTTAGGTGGCCTCAGTACACGATTTGGAGGAGCCCCATCGACATTTGTCGACTAAACCGTTAATCCACCTGTGTGTACTATAAATTGAATGTTATTATAATTAATATTGAACAAAATTTTAAAAACAAAATCGTAAATCGTACTTACTCTAATTTTAGGAACTGCATAGAACGATGACATTGTCGTGCCTGCATAAATTATAATATTTAATATAATTTACATTAATATTGAATATATATTGATTATTTTGTAATTGGACATACTTAATACTTCTTGGAAATTATTGTCTAAGTAGATATTTGTTTCTTTTGTAATTGATTGTTTCTTATGAGTGTATGTTTTATTTGGTGCTGGTATATAACGAGTTGAAAAATTAAACGGTGGTAATCTAGTTGCATTATTTGGTCTTTCAGTTACATCAATAATTTTGGATTCTTCAATTATTTCTGAGTGTTCTTCGGGTAATTCTGTGTTCTCTTCTATTTTTACTGTATGTTCTTCTGGGATCTCTGTGGGTTCCTCTGATCTTTCATCAAATTCTTCTGATTTTCTAGTGGATCCATCTAGTGTTTCTAATCGTTCTTCTGGCTCTCCTCTAAATTCATCTAACCTTCCTATAGATTCTTCTGGTGTTCCACCAGGATTTTCTGGTTGTATTGTTGGTTCTCCTGATATTTCTGTAGGTTCTTCTAATTTTCCCGTGGATTTTTCTGGTGTTTCTATGGGATTTACGGGTATTTCTGTGGGTTCCCCTGATATTTCTGTAGTTTCAGCTGATATTTCTAATGGTTCTTCTGGTTTTACTATGTGCTCTTCTGTTACTTTTGGTAGTTCAACTGGTATTTCAGATTCTTGCTGATTGGATCTCAAAATAATATTTTCTGACACGTTTTCCGTATACTCTTCTGGTTGACTGGGTTCCGTAGGGTAATTTTCATTAGGTACTTGAGGATTTGAGGAATACGTATCCAGTGTCAAAGAAGGCCTGCCTGTTACTTCTACAACAGATTTTTCAAAGAAAACGTAAATATTACTGCATTTTAATTTATGTATTAAAGCTTTAAAATCTAATTTAATTATATATGTACTACGTAAATCACTTGTATACATTTGTTCTATCTTCGTATGTATAGATGCATAATTAGCATAAAGTTTAAGCAGACGACAATTTATGTCAAAAAGAAGAACATATATTCAATGCTTAATAGTTTCTATCAGGTTTGCTTAAAAGTAAGAATCAAATTTTAAATAAAACATAATATGAATTAAATTCTAGAATATGACAGAGATGATGAATCAGTAAAAAAACCACCAACGTATAATTATAATGAATTATAATTTATTATGTAACACGTGTCGTTTCAAGCCTTGGTATTATTTCAAGAATCGATTTACATATATTAATATGTGTGTGATAAATTACAAGTGATTATTTTACTGTTAATTAACAATAAAGAAATAGATACAAATTATAAAAAAAAATTCTATAAAATAATCGTATAATCCTAATTGGTACGAAAGCCAAGTGTTACAGAACCTAAAAAAAAAAAAAAAAGCATTCCGAAATTATAATAGAATATATCCATTGTATTATAAATCATATATCAGTCGTGATAATAACACTTACAAAAAGTGATAGTAAGAAACGTCAAGGAGCTAATACGAGTATATACCAAGCAACTCGTAGTTTGTTCAACGCATAAAAATACAGGTAACGTGTTGGCACTTGTCTGTATACCAAAAATAAATATACGGAATTTGAAATGTTTTCAAAAATATATTTGATTCTTACTTTAAACAATGAAGTTTGATTAAAAATGATTATTCGTTAATATTTCTGTAAACTTCTATGAAATTGCTTATAAGTTATAAATGATTAGAATAATTTTACCACGATTTTTATGGATAAGAGTATTACGATTTCCTGCTCATTATAATAATACAATTGCACTATATACATACTATATACTTTAAAATTAAATCGATTAAAGAAATTGGTTTTTTGTAGTTCAACCGTGGCCATATAGGTAGAAATAATTCCTGGCGTTAGTTACCTACCAAATCGCAATCAGTTTTTATTGAAATTGGACATTTTGTTTGGAACAATGATGAATCTAAGATTTTTTTTATGGTGAGTACTATTTAACTAATAGTTTTCCTAATATATGTATTATGCTCAAATTCAAAGTAAAAACAAATTAATAATTTGGGGCTTAAATAACCAGGAAAATTAGTTGTACATGTGCATGTATTTCGATTACTCTATAAAAAGATTATAAGCTCTCTCCACCCCTGGTGCCCTATTTATAAATTCCTATGATGATATTCAACAAAAAAGAAAATTAAGAAACCCTTCTTTAAATTACCCAGTCGAGATTATAATAATTATTAATACATATAATACGATACCCAATTAATGTACAAAACAAAAAACTAGATCAACGCGGTATGATGAGTGGTTCAGCTGGTAAGCACCAATTCCACTCCTTCCTGAATCCGTTACTATATCGAGATATTTATCCGGTGCCATATGTGTACATATTAGTAATTATTTTTATAATTATTTTAAGACTATAAGTAAAACATTCGAGTGTACGTTACACTGAGACACACACTCCTGCGGATGATGATGAAAGACGATAATCCAGTAATGCTCGTTATACTTTAACAACGCAACAACATAATAAAGCGTGTTCCAAAAGATTAGGACAATTTGAAATAGCTCAGTTGAAAATGTGTTCACGTAATTTGTTAAAAACAGGATCTGCATCACATGCCATTAATAGTTTTCAAACATTTAAGCTTTAAATTACATAAAATGTAGATTCTGTTTTCAATGAAAAAATTATATGAACTCATTTTTTTACTTTTGTACGAGTTATTTAAATATTTCCCATTTCCCCGGAAGACCCTGTACCCAACATCGACCGTCGGAGAGGTGTTTGCGGGGTTTACATCTACATCACTAATACAATACACAACACGTCGTACGGAGGTCGGGGGTGGACGTAGTGGTCGGCCGTTTGCTGTTTACGCCATTCTCGTCGTAATCTTCGTCGTCGTAGTTGTTGCCATCGTATTCGTCGGCGGCCGCGTCCGCCGCGTTGCTGGCGTTTCTCGGCTGGTCGGCGGCCATCCGCGGTCGAGACGGCCGGGCGCGATTCCGGTGATGGCCAACCGACGAAGCGGCCGCGTCGGCCACCGGCGGCGGCATCGCGCACTGGATGAGCGCGACGGCCAACAGCGCGGACGTCACGACGACCGCGTCGCTACTAAAACCGCGCATATGGGTCCGGCGGACACTGCGCGCGCGGGTCGCGTGGTTGCGAACACACGCCTTGTACAACTCCTGCGCCGGAGACACCTGGCGCAACGGACTACCTGTTCTACGCACGTATACGGCTTTTCCGGACACTGCACTACCGTAGTTGTTGTGCACTGCGCTGGCGGACACGTGCGGCCGCGTTCTTTTGGTTTGACGATTTTCACGATCGACGGGCTCAAAGTAACGGTCGCGCGCGACAACACGTCCAATCGGTACGGTGGTCCGCGCCTGCAATGTGATTGGGAAAAAAAAAATCGGCACCGAAAAGGCGCACAAGCTGGCGCGCGCACGCAAAACCACACGCGCCGCGCGGACAAACGCAATCAATTAGCGCTGCGCGTTTATCACGTCCCATTATTTTATTATTATTATGTTGGATATTTTATTAGATGTAAATTATTATTATTACTACTAGTACTAGTACTACTACTATTAATAATATCAAGCGTAATCGATCGTAACGCGTATACGTGTGGTACACGCATTATCGAGATTGTACCGCACACGGAGCCGGCCACCGACCGCGGGCGTTGATGACCCTTCGCCGCGCGGCCACCGACTCGGCTTCCGTTAGACTTGCGTCCAGTCGACCGCGTGTTCCGCGTTTGTACGACAAACCCTGTGCATGACGTGCATGCGTCGCATGCGTATGCGCGCACCGGTGTCGTACTCAACAACATGACATGCGGTGCACCACATGCACGGCCCTCAGGGAGACGAATCGAATGTGCCGTGCAATTGATGCAATTGACCACGACGGCGGTCGGTTTCGTGTACCTCGTTAAGCGCTGCGTGCATTTTTTTTTTCTTTACATGTAATGCGAGTTGCGCACGTCCGCTTTGTTCTTAGCGCGCGACGGCGCGTTCCCGTTGGATCCTTTGCATACCGCGCGAACCGATCGCCATCGTACGCGCACTTGCCGCGGGATAGTGTTGCCTACTCTCCCTGCAGCGGCGTCGAAACCCGTGTTTACGCGTTGGGCAGTCGGTGCGTATCTCGGGGTCACTCGCCACACGTTTTTATCAGCCTCATCAGTTTTACTATGAAGGTATTTTTCCATGTAAATAGATGATGCCCGGTTGAAATATCATACTCTATTGTCCTATAACTTTAAAACAACTTCGGTGTCACGATGTCCTCTTCGGTGACGTGTGCAGGGACAATGGGTACTGTGATTTCGGAAAAACGTACCCGGCGGCGACGAATAAAAAAAAAAAACATCGCGTTAGATAATGTTGTCGTTATTGACGAAAATTTCAACATTGATGTTGTATGCATTGTTAATTACGATAGAATAAGAAAGAGAAATAAGAAATCTTGATAAACTTAATATTGAAGTATCTGTAATAGGTATTATATAATATGAAACGCGTACATTTTTCGTAAAGGAATATTCAATTACCATTTTTTATTTTTTTATTAGCAATCTTATCTAATCAAAACATTTCAATTCTTAATTAGTCAGTTACGAAATCTTGATAACTTGTAGTCCTCAGAAGAAAAATCATATTTTAATCTATTAAGCACTTCAATTCATAAAATCAATCGTGTATATGTATTCATAGTTTTACAAAAATCTTTTAAACCCTAACAATTTAATACCTATTAATAAATTATTGATTACTGTAACTAATTTTATTTCAACTTTATTATTTACTTTAATATATTTACTACAAAATACGTATATATTCTCCTCCGCCGCGCCATAGTTAAAATTAATCCTAAACACTATCTACTATTCGTTAAGTTTATCAATCAACATTCGCTGCTACTATTTACCAAAGTCAACATGGGTCATTTTTTTCGGATCGTAATTAATTTCGCCTCAAAACATTATCAACCGTTTAATTCGCGCCTTGGTCTAAGCTCAAAGTCCAACCACGTGTTTTCCGAATCCCTTGTTCTACAAACCTAAGTCTTGAATTTTCAAGTTTAATCCTAACCTATTATTTATCAACCATCACGTATTTTGTCAGTTTCGTTTACCTACGTAGTCTCGGAACGATACACTCATTAAATTTGATTAAATAATAGATTTAGTTATATTTACTAGATTCAGACTCTAAATAACACATGCTATAAAGTTCGTTAAAAATGTGATATAATTTATTGAATCATAAACAAATATTTTCCAACAGTGTTTTGTCTTAAAAAACGAACACGTTTATATGATGGATCGATTATATTATATGGATAGTATTATTACAGCAAAAATAAATAATAATTAATAATTATTATTTTTTTATTATTTTCAGATCTTTATCATTTTTAGATTTAATTTATTAATTACAGCCAGACTTATAGACAATACAAATCAATACAAAAATAATATCTAAGAAGCGTAATTAAAAGTGTAAACAAATAAATTATTGAATTAATTTAAAATAGGAATTTCCGCTGTATACTTCTTGCTATTGTTTATAAAATATAAACGTGAATGCAAAAAATACAACCATTCTGGGCAAATATTCTAATTTTAATTACGAACAAAATTTTCAAATGTGATTTAAATGTATGTACACATGGTACGTATAATATGAAAAGGGAATGAATCATGTTTTAGTTAAAAATTAAGATTGTTCCTGTATTAATAAATTATGTAAAAGATAAGCTTTGTAACAGGCAACCAACCATTAGATTAATTAATATTACTTATATGAATCCCAAAAAAAAATTTATTTATTAAATTAAATGTATAGCTCTTCAATTCTGCTCTAAAAATCGTTAATTGATGGATAATTATTATGACATGTTATTATTTTAAATACAATGTATAAATTAGTTAAACATTTAATAAATATGAAGTATTATGAACGAGTATAATAGGAAAAAAATACTGTTAAATAAACATAAGATTTTAAATTGTATAATCATTATGCAATAATATACTTTTAATTAATTGCTTCTAACAGATTATACAATATGTGTTTCAAATTTGATAAAAGTTGTGTAAATTTTGTAAATAAATTAATGATTTATTTAAGATAAAATAAAATGTATTATTAACCAAAACCATGATATCTCTACCTACTTCTTAATTTTTCAAGAATGTAAATAATTAATTATTTCCGTTATTTTTAAAAACAATAGGAATCTGTGTTACTTTAATTTTATTAAATTATGGCATGTATAAAAAGTTTTAATTAATTTTATTATTTATTAAAAACTCTAAACTAGGAAAAAATCATATCAAAACAAAAATGAGTTCTTGTTCACTCCAGTTGCCTAAAATATTAATTACATAAAATTTTACTAATCTAAATAACAGTCCCCTTTTAACCTGTTGAGCAATAGTATGTGTTCACGAATAACTTAGGCTTTAGGTGTATTTAATAAATACACAAAGTTCAGACATCTGTGTATGTGATTATTTCATTTTTAATGTCCTCCTGTTATCGAACGTCCCGTTAATAATTAACATTACTAATTATCTACTTCTATAAATATATATAGTCAGATATATATATACATAAATGTAAATTAGGGTTTAAATTTTCAATAAAAAAGTTAATTTTAAAAATTGAATAAATCTAAAATATATTTAAATATATTATGTAAATTTAATTCAGTACGGAGTATATAATAAAGCTTTGATTAGATGAGTATAAATAATAAAAATACTATTCGTTTAACAATTAAAATAATAAATAAATAAAACTCACAAAAAATAGCTAGAAATAAAATAAATAAAATGTTGCAGTGTGTTTTAGGTACTTCTGCACACATTATTTATTATGTCAGAAATAATGGTGATTTAACACATAGTCTGAAACTTTAATTATTATATTATCAAGTATCAAAAAATTGACTATACAATAAAATATGTTCAAAATGACTTTAAAAAGAGAAGAAAAAGTAACACAGGCTGAGAAGATATGTAAAAAGAGAATGTATTCAAACATTATTTCTGACCATAACTAATAATAATTGTTAATTAATGTTACATTATTATAAATAATAAAAAATCAATAAGATTGATAGATGACAGGCTCGTTGTTTAATAAAATAATATGGCTGGATTCAAACTGAAGAAACACTTTTTGTTTTTCCACCCCAAGTATCAATGACCTTTAGCAGCTTGTTTAGCAGCCATTATCAAAGGAGTCAGGCTAGCCAAAGGTCTGGAAAGCTTCAAAAATGGATGCTGTAAACAATGTTAAAACATAAAAAAATCTTTTAATATACAAATGAAACAGATTTTTAGATTTTAATCATAACATTTCAACATTGTTTCATCAACAAATTTTGTTTTTATTTAAAAATCCTAATAAAATTTAAAAAAAGGTTAAATGTTATCTAAAATATTTTATATGTAAAACATTTATCTTAAATACAATTATTTTTTTATCTTACATAATTGTTGCCATTTATTGAATATTATAAAGCATATGTAAAATGATTTTAATTGATAATACTTTTAAATAGTATTGTAGATTATTAACCTATTTAGTTATAGTTGGATGATGAATTTTACTGTTATATCAAGATTAACAGATAAACAATTTCAATAGGTAAATTTATTTTTGTAATAAAAAACATTTGTAGATAAGAATAAAGAAGCATATAACATATTATTTTAAATTTATACAAACACAATTTAACCTAAATATATTTTTTAGGAAAATTTCAAAAACAGACCTCAGACAAAATAAATTAACTTACTTTTAAAAGTTCAGAGGCTGATGCACGATCTTTAACCTCTACTTCAAGGCACTGATCCAAAAAGTCTTGAAAAATAGGAGATAATTTTTCTTTCTCTTTGATCTCTGGTTTTCCATTAGTTGCAATCAAATATAATGCCTAAACAAATTCTTGTTATTACACATGTTATATAATTACAATATAAATTATTATTTACTCTTAAGGGATTTTCATTCAAGTATGGCGGTTCCCCTTCAATCATTTCAATAGCCATTATACCTAATGACCATATGTCAACTTTGGGACCATACTGTTTACGCGTAACTACTTCTGGAGCCATCCAATATGGTGTACCAACCATTGTAGTACGTTTGGACTGCTCAGGTGAAATTTGAGCACAAAATCCAAAGTCAGCTAAATAATTTAAAACATATTTTATAAAAACATAGAATAATTATGGCTTTGTTAAGTGTAAAACTTTATTAAAAACAATAATTAGTAACCAGGATGTAAAATAAATAAATTAAAAAACTATTATTTAACTGCTATTTATATACTTGGTTAATGAAAATAATGATGGCCTATGAAAGTTAAAAATTACAAAAGTTACAAAATGATAAAGGATCATAATATGATCATAATACAATAATAATATATATGTTATATACATTTTATTCTTATAATAATATGGTTCTTAAATAATTATTTGAAGTAGTTATTTTTGGTCTGAAGTTTTAAATCATACTGATTCTTGGTAATTGTAAGCGAAATAGGGAAATGTTAAGTAAAAATTTCAAAATCTATAACTAAATACTTAAAACTAGAGGAAAATACTGGTATTATATTTCTTAGCACTAAAGCTTAAAAAATATAATGAATATAGAAATTAGAATTTTTTTACATAAAAAGGACAAAAGCATCTTCAATATTTTCTATCTTGCTATACAAGCAATATTATACCTCTTATACCTAATACAAAAAAAATTATTTTTAGTAAAATTTAAATTATACATATAACAAAATACTACTATGAATAATATGAATTTCAAAAATATGCACATTATTTTTTATAAACTTAAAATTAGATATATTTATTCTAATTATTTTAGTTAACAACATATTTTAAAAATACTTACTAAGTTTAACACTACCATCTAATCCAAGTAAAATGTTATCAGACTTTATGTCTCTATGTATAACTTGATTGAAGTGTAAAAACTGAAGGGCTTGAAGTACTTCTCGACATACAGAAGCTATTTGACCTTCATCCATACAAGTTTCTGTAACAACATCTGTTAAACTACCTCCCGGTAAATACTCCATTACAACCTAAAAATAATGTGAAAATTAAAAATATTTTAAATATTATTTATTAAATTGTTATAAATAAATACCCAAAGTTCATCTTGTACTAAGTAACTATCTAAATAGTTCACAACATTTGCATGTTTATTTTCTCGCATGACTAGTATTTCATTAATAATAAGCTCTTTCTTTGGCTGTTGACCTAAATTCATTTGTTTTATAGCCACTTCCATTCCTGTGGATGTTTCAATAGCTGTATACACTGTTCCAGATGCTCTATAATAGCAAAAATATTTAAATGAAATTATTAATATATATAAAATATATCAATTTTAAACACTTACCCTTGACCAATTTTTTCCATTTTGGTATATTTTCTGTTTGGATCACCAACTGTTACTATAGTCTTAAGTTGTTCTAATATCTCATTATCTGCAACTTTTTTACGGGTAGTAGCAGTTGTATTGTTTTTATTTTTATCCAATATTGGAATGGTTCCATTAGTTTGACTAGGCCGGTGAAGTGGAACTGGTGAGACTACTTTAGGTTCTTCTTGGGTGATAGACCTAGGTTCATCTTCTTCTATTGGTTTGGTATATACAGATTTTGTACGTTCTGGACGTACAGATACTGGAGGTGGAGGAGATGTTTGTTCATCTGTTGTAGGAGTGGTTGTCAGTGAGGGACTAGTGCTACCTGTTGATGAAGATGGTTGGCTACTACTGACACCCGAATATGATGAACTGCCCCCACTATGTGCACTACGCTCTAATACTTCTGGAGTTTGAGAACTGGTTTGTACTAGATCAGTTGAATAAAATAACAAATTAATTTCATTTATTAATATAATATTAAATTAAATTACCAATATTTGAAGCTGTGGTCATATACTTGGAAGTCTTTGATTGTTTACTGGAATTATCAAACCAATTAAGAACATCTAAAACTGCTTGAGGATTCTTTTTTTGTTCTTGTTTGCTTATATTAGACGTTATTAAAAGTCGAGCCCATGCTTCTGGCATACCCTGCATTAATAAGATTAATTCAAAAGAAATAAATATCATTAAAAAAACTAAGTGTATAAATAAAAAGTAATAAAAAAAACAAAAACAAATATATATATTATTTCTAATCTGATATACAGTAATGTACCAATAAGGTATATATAAAAATATAATGCATATCAATACAATATATATTTATAATGAGAATCCACATAGTATATTTAAAATAGAATATTTAGTTAAATTTTAATTTAGGGTTTTGTACGGACTATAAATATTTAATGTTTATACTCCAAATATTTTATTAACTAAAATTTTGAACATACAAAAATAAAATAAAAGTGTAGTTTAAATTATAATTTATAATGTTCTTTCACTATGCAAAAAATAATAAATATAACAATATTTTACAATTTGTTCACAAGCAATGTAATAATATGCTGCAAACTACAAGAAAATTAAACACATTTTATGTCTACAATATTTTACAACTACTCACAAAGCTGTTGGTGTTACTCACTTTATATGGCAGCTTGAAACAAGAAAAAATAAACACAAAATTCTAAGAGACATTTGTCTATCAAACTGATATTAATATAGTAATTTAATTTAATGCATGCAGCAAATTAATTTCCTTATAGCAAATATTTATAATATATTATGTAAATAATCCTAAGCATTAATAAAATATATGAAATATGTTATGAGCAATCTAGGTTAAATAATAAGTACCTATACCTAAAGTTATGCTTTATAAAAAAAAAAAACGTTTTAAATTTATAGTTAATTTTGAATTATTATTTTAAGATTTGATTTTCATTGTCAATAAAATATGACAATGAAAAAAAACAGAATGTTATTTAAATCTAAGACATTTTGAATAAAAATATTGTTATAAAAAAATAATCAACATATTTCTCATGCAAATGTGAATTATTATTTACTATATAGGATTAAAAAAGTAGATTAAGTGCTGATGAAGTATTTAGTAGTGTAAAAAAAATATTTCTTTAATTTTCAAGAATTTTTTGTTATTTAATAATGAAATATACAATAGATAATAATTTAAAAATATATTTTTATACTTATTCATTGGAAATAATGTTGAACCCAGTAAAATACCTGTTTTTTTTTTTAATGATTAATTAATAACAAACAATTATTGATTTTTTTGATATTTTGGAACAATACATATAATTGTTTTCAGCATGTTTTATCTTATTATAAATGACATATAATATATTTTTATGTCTTATTATATCAATACTTATAATTTTAATATTTTTATGTTATAATAATAAAAAAAGACACATTTTACATGAATATTTAAAATCATATAAAATAATTTTCTATACTTTAATTGCAATAATGATCCAACTATCAATCAATTTAAAAAAATAAACATCTACTTGCCAATATACTTAATATGATATTTTAACTTGAATTGCACTTTAAAATGGGACTATACTTAATATTGATTCTAGGCACAACTTTATACAAAGGGTCTATATTCAAATTATTTATTCAGAAAATAATAAAAATGGAACAAGTACAACCTTAATATTTCGGATAGTATTAATTTTAATCATTTTTCAGTATTCACACACAAAATAATAGTTCATGATTATTAAACTGTCAGTGAAATTTTTTTATACCTATAAACTAGTGCTCAAAGTCTATTATACTATACAATATATACTATATTTTACATAATACTATGAAATTATAATTGACTTTATTTTTTTGCCTTCTCTCCAAACAATATTGGGTTGGTCATCTTTATCCTTCACCTTTGCACGGTCCTATATCTAGGCCCGTATTTAAGGGGTGGCACGGGTAAGCACATGCCCAGAGACGTCAAATCTCAGAGGCGACAAAATATTTTAGCAAAATTTAATTTAAAAATTATGTACCTAATGAAAAAAAAAATAAAAAATAAAACAATAAAAAAAAGAAAATAGTATATTTTATTATGTTATAATTTGTAAATTAAAAAAAATTGTATTTTTTATTATATTATAATTTGTTAGTTAAAAAAAGTATTAAATGATTTTCATGTATAAGTTGTATTTTAATATTAAAGAATCTCGATTACGGACAAAACAATAAGTGTTATATTATTATTATTTATTTTGGGGGAGGGCATAAATTATATGCCCAGGGGCGCTAAATTTTTAAATACGGGCTTGCTTATTTCTCATTTCTACTCCCTGCACTCCAGGTACAACCGATTTTATCCAACAATATCTTTTTCTCCTCTTTCCAATTGAATTGATTGTCAAGACACCAATTACTGATGTAATCTCATCTGTCTTAATAACATGCCCGAATCATCCAAACCTACTTCTTCTTATTTCTACAGAACTGGTGTTATTCTTACATCTCATTTAAATGTATTAATTCCTTATACCCTATCTACCTTCTATCATTTTAATATAATCTCCACAACATTCATCTTCTATTCTGTTTTCTTGTCCACTGTTCAATATTCCAGTCCTTACAAAATTTGGAGCCTCACAACTATCTGGTAAAATGAATAATATTATAAATTATATTAAATATTTTAACTAAAATGTAGTTATTCAAATTTTTAAACCGAAAGAAATTAATGTATGTTTTTTCAATTAGACTACATAGCAAAGCATATTTTAGCAAATGTAAAATGTGCAAATTAAACTATATTTTAGCTTATTTTTATATCCATATGACTAATTAATAAGAATATTCTTAAGTATTAATACTTACAGTGAACTCGCCAGTATGTGCATCAAAGCCTACATGCATAGTATGTTCAAAATTAGTTGGATAAGATATTTCTGGTTTATCTTCACACCCAGTACCCCGCGTTTTCAGTCTACCAGTCATTCGACTTTTTGATGTTTTCTTTTTGTGATCTGAATCAGGTTCTTTTGGTAGAGGCCGCATAATATCCAAATTTGATACAGAATCTCCACGAGCAACTCTAAAACTGATTTATACTATAAAATAACTAATTAAAAATTAATCACTTAATATAACCATTACCTATTACTCGTGAGACGGACTGGAGGAGCTGGGGGCTTGTCCTCATCATCAGACATTTTAATGAGTTAGAAAAAAAATACTAACTGATTGACATTAAAACATTCTAAAACAATAGAGAAATAATTTACGTTTGCGGAAAACACATCATTAGTATCCACTGATCATTATTTTGTGTATATAAATATATATATACATACATTGTTTTTGACTCCACCTAAATAAACATTGACTATTTTTAGATTACCTTAAACATGAGTGTTCTTGGGCCCATAGGTGCGTAAAAATGTTAAATAATCGTTAAATGGGACATAATCATTTTGGCTGTGATATAATTATACACTTAAAACTAATTAATTTAACCATAAATTAAAATATAAAACAAGTTATTATCTAGTTAAAATGAATAGGAAGCAATAAAAAAAATGAACTAAATATCACATCCTGTAAAAGACTGCTGAATGCAGATCAGTGATCCTAATTTCCAAGATTCATTATCGCAAAAAATCATATCATACCAAACCATGTTTGGTTGGTTAAACTGAATTTAAGATATGCCCAAAGACTTCGTAAATAACGCGGCAAATTTATTCATTTTTTTTTTTTTTTAATTTACTCACTTTATAAAGATATAGAATATATACTATAAATCATTTATATTTTTAAAATATTTTCAATTAAACTTGATAAAATTAATTATAATATCAACGCGAATAAATTATGTATTTTGATTTTAATTATATTTAAATCTTTTTAAAACATAGTATATTTATATTTGACCGTGTTGATAAATTTGAAGGCTTGAAAATATGTATAATGTAAGGATAAATTGAGATTTAATGTAGAACGGTGAAAAAATGATTGCTATACATACTATATAAAAATATATTTTTTTCTTTTCTATGAATGGTAAATATTCAATTATAGGTAGGTAGTTAATTTATTTTGATAATAAATCAGACATTCTATATAATAGAATAATTTTGTCATGTGTTCTTAAAGTTGTTATATAAGAAATTTAATATTAAATTAATAAAATATAAGATAATATAATATAATAAAAATATTATATTATAATAATAATAATACTAATATTAAATAAAAACGATATATAAATATATATGTATAGCATAAACATGTTTATTAAATAAATTAATTAATATGTTCAATATCTATAACTATATTATAATATTATGTGTCTTTTAAGTTATCTTTTTTTAATTTAGTTATGTACTGGGTAAATAATTCATACAATTCTTCAATTTTTTTTTTCATCTTCTTTCCTATTTAATAAAACATAAGTTAACCATAAATAACAAAAATTCACTAAAAAATATGTAATAAGTTGGTGAGATAAGTACCTACCTAGGTACTAATTTAAATTACAAATCAATTGCAATAATGCTGTATTGAGCATTAATTTAATTTTAATTTAGCAGCAATAATAAATTACCATTCTTGAAAAATAATTATGAATTAGAACTAGTAATTTAATTAAAGTAGGTATTGAAAAAAAAAATTATTTATCATCAATGTGTATGAAAATAATATTTGCCATATTTTGAAGTTTGAACTTTTAATGGATTACATAAAATGTTATAGTTTACTTTTATTTAATACTAATATAATTGGTAAAATTGGTTTAGAGTAAAATGTACCATTATTTTAATTATGAATGATATTAATGAAACTATTTAGAAGGTTTTAACAGCCTTAATTAAGTATAATTACTTTTTTATTGTAAATTTTTGTTTTTCTGATTGCAATTTTTCCTTAAGTATTGACAATTCACTTTTATGATTTATATTCATTTGATGTATTTCCATTTTAAAAAGTTGTAACTGTTGATCTTTCTTTGTGAGATAAATATTAAGAGTATCTATATCTTTTGAAAATGCATCAAAACATGCTTGAGTATTTGAATTTTGAATTTCTTTGTCAGATAGGTGTTTTTGATAAGCCTTTACTAATTCATCTTTAGTTAATATTAAACTATTTTCAAGTTCTCTCATTTTCTTATTATCTTCTACAGACTGTGTTTCAGCTTTGGCTAATTTAATTTCTAAATCCGTATTTTCTTTTTGTAATGTTTTTGTCTGCATATTCAATAAGACTAACTCTTTTGTCTGCAATATTTAATCAATATATACAATTTAACATAAATTAAATATAATTATAATTGTATAGAACCTGTTTTTCAAAATCATCTATTTTTTCTTGCTCCATTAATATTTTCATATTTATGTCATTGTGAATTTTGTTTGACATATAATGACGAGTTGTATGTATAAGAAGTAATTTTTTAATATCCGTTAAATAATCTATAACGAGAAAGTTTACAGATAAGATAATTTTTAAACTAATAAAATTAATAATGATTATTACCAGTATATTTCTTTAATTCAATTTCCATTAAAGCTTTCAAGTTTTTAAGTAAGAATTTAAATGTATTAATTTCTTTATTAATTTTTGGTAGAGTTTCTAATAATATTTGATGGTTGATTATTTTATTTACGTTTGTATTACTATTATTAATTTTTATTTTTCTGATAATATAAGTCAACTTTTCTAAATCCTGTAAAATATAAATATGTTAAATTTATATAAGGTCATGTGATTTTATAACATTTAAAAACCTCTAAAGAATTTATATTTTTTAAGTCAGAACTAGGTAATTCAAAACTTATTTCTTTTATAAGTGAATTTAAACTTTGTTTTTTAAACGACAATTCTGATTTCATCTTTTCTATTTGATTTATAACTATTGTATTAGATTCTTTTTCCTTTAAACAATATTTTTTCATCTCTTCAATTTCTTGTTTTTGTTGCTGATTTTCTACTTGAAGAAGATGTAGTTCTGATTTTAATTCACTATAAACATTTCATAACTTTATACATTTTAGACATTTGAAATAACTATATTTAAATAATTATACTGCATGATTTTAAATATTTTATTAAATAAATAGAAGTTTTACTTAATTCTGTGGTGATATTGATTATTAAGGGAATTCAACTGTGTTTGGTAGTTTTTAGTAACTGAGGTTACTTGTTCAACAACTTTTAAGTTTCTACACCGATTTTCTTCTTGATTAATTAAACGCAATTTCTTTTCTTCTAATATTTTATCTGTAAATATTATTCATAATAATAAGAAATAGATTAAGTGTGAGTATTTTTAATAAAATGTTGATTACAAAAAATTAAAAATACAAATATGAGATATACATTACATTATACAAGCATGCTGTAACTAATATATTTTTATAATTAACATTTATAATTTTAACACAGGTATATTATACTTTAGAGAGATTACGTTTGGAATTTAATGCAATACATTTCTTATAAGTTTATTATTTTTTTAGAAAAACATTACTGACGTAAAATAAATATTGTATTGTTTGTTATTATAAGTTATACGAGTAATTTCCTGAATTTTCAATATTTCAGGTAACATTAATATGACAAACCCTAATAAATTTCAATATTTTCATAGTAATTGATTAACTATTAGTACTTGTATACCTACCAATTATTTAAATATAAATAATATAATATATGTAAAAAAACAATGAATTGTTCTATTTGTTCTTCATAAAGACTTATGTATTAAAATATTGATTCATCAGAAATAGTTATATATTGAAATTTAATTTAATTTAAATTAATTGAGTTTAATACATTTTGTTTGGGTTTTATTTAAATTAAATTTGTAATTGCTCTCATAATGTTTAATTTTTTAACTAACATTGTTTGACTGATAACCAATATAAAACATAAATCTCATAAACAATATTATTCTGTTGACAATTATTGTATTGTACTATTGTACACTTATAGTTATTTTTCAATTAATGATGCTTATAAACTTAAACAGATAAAATGACTTCAAAGATTTATAAGAAATTAAAAAACGCAAGAAGTTATAAATATATCTATAAATAAAATAAAATAGTTTTTATTTACGTTAGAGCCTCCTATCTAAATCAATATTGGATTAAGAATAATATTTATTAATTTATTAAATTAACTTACCTATTAAATTAGTTATTTCCATTGATACAGAGTTACCTTGAATGTTTAGTACTGTAAGAATTTCATTTTTTTTTAAAGATTTCAATAAAAAAGTTGCTCCTGTTTCTCCTATACAATTCCAACTTAAATCTAAAATGTATTTATTTAATATATTTGTATAGTTTATGTAATTTATTAAAAATTTAAACAGTATGGTTCAATCTAAATATTAAATGTCTAATTAGAGATAATTTACCAATATCTTTTAAACATTTATTAACGTTTAACATTTCTGCTAAATAAAATCCACATTTTTGACACAAATTATTATTTGCCAAATTTAAAGTTTTTAAAACTGTATTCGACATTAAACTATTACAAAACTGAGAAAATGTATTTATTGAACCTCCAAGGTCATTCCAATCTAACCTAAGCCTAAGAAAATTAATACCATGTGCTTTTTACAATTTTTAATTAATTTAGCATGGTTACAATTAAAACATACTCAGTAATACAAGAATTATTTAATAATATATTAGAAATATAAGTTGTGAAATTATTTCCAATATGATTGCCTTTCAAATTTAACTGTGATAAGTTTTTCAATTGGTATACAACATCTAAAAATAATTTCAAACTCTTGGTCGTAAGTAAACAATCAGATAAATTCCAAATTTTTATTGTGGGTACAAGTTTTAAAGTTTCAGCTATTAATGAACAAGAAGTTTCAGTTATTTCAATACTTTTCAAATCTAATTCATCATACAAACTGAAAAAAAAAAGTTGAACATTAGTAAAGAATTGGTTATTTTTTTATCTCATACATTTATTATATACTTTTATTTTAATTACCTTGCATAATACAAACGGGATAAAATAATTTCATCAATTGATTTTTTGTTTTTGAAACATAATTTTCGATAAATATTACACATTTCTGCACACATAATATACTAATGTTTTTTAACTTGCATTAAATTTCACAAATATTTGAATGTTTTATCAATAAGCTTGGTATATGTTAAATAAATATTACATATTTTAGTTACATTATAATCCACTATCATAAGAATGAAACAATTAATGAAAATATTATAGTTTAAAAATATAATTTAAGTAATAAAGTGTACATTTATAACCATCTTTGATAAAGTTATCAGTTTTTTATGTATTGGATAATATCCATAGACCTTATATTACGAGTAGTCTAAATAATCATCACAATTATATGTCCTTTATTATCTGTCAATAATTTAATATAAAATATGTAAAAATTTAACCAAAAAGGAAATATATGCCATAAAATATACTTTTAGTTAATAATTAATTAATATTAAAATCAATATTTTCATAGAAAAATGGCTTCTGAGAAATAATTAATGATTTAAATGATTTTAAACAATTAAATATTTAACATCTGTCTTACCACAGGAGGTAATATTTTTAGCCTGATTAAACAGCTGAGATAAATGGACTATAATTAATTATTAATATCAAGAGTAACTCTCAAACTTAGTAAGAGTAATAAAATCTTAAAACAATTTTATATAAAATACAATATTTATTATATAATAAAATTAGAGCTTATAATTCTGTAATAATAATTAATTATTTACAATTATTCACTCATTAAAAAGTCAATATTTATAATTCTGAAGTCTCTGTAGTGATCCATAAAACACACATAAACTCTTATATTACTAACATACTATTGTCACGGTGTTGAAAGTGACTGCTTTGAGTGTGACTTTTTGAAAGTTATGTATTACTTAATTAATTATCAAATAAAGAATTTAATATAATATGTTAGATTGGCGTAAATAAATATATTCAAAAAAATCATTCAAATTCAATACAGGTAAATACACTTAAAAAACTATTCAGTATTTTTCTCAGTATATGCTCCTAAATTACCAAATAATTCTGCTGGCACTTCTTTTTTAGCAGGTAAATCGTCATCATTTTCTTCATTTTCTTTATCACCATCTTCTTCTAAATCATCATCACTAAAGTGAATTTCATCAGGATTTTGTACTTTTTCCATTGGTAAACGATCTTGTTCACTGCCCAAAACGAATTTGATGGGTTCCAATGGTTTTTCTTTGTTTTCTAATGCTTTTTCTTCTAATAATTTCATTCCACTTTTTTCAGGTTCTACTGAAATAGCAGACATCATTTGAGCAGACATCATATTAACTTGAATATTATACATTGCTTGAACACTTCTTTTAATTCTCAACATTTCTCTAAGAGTATCTTCATTACCATGAGCTACTTCAAAGGATGTCCATGTTTGCCAAAATTCTTCAGTTATTCTAGGATCACATATTTGACTACAGTGAGAATATATTGCTCGAGCTCGATCAATTTCACCTAATTTTGTTTCAAGTTCTGCAAATCTTAGATACATAGTACGAGCATTATTATTAGTTAAAACTTCTAATGCTTTCATGTAAATTTCTCTGGTCTTTGGTATACCAGATATCTCAGCTGCTTTTTTAATATAAATGTTGAACATTTCGAATTTTTCTTCTGGTAAAACAGCTTCAGTAGCTCTTTCATAGACAGCCATTGCTCGTCTACCTAAACCATGTTTTTCTTCAAGCTTAGCATATAATAAATAAATACATTTAGCGAATTGTGGAGGACAACCTTCAAGACATTCCTCAAAAAGATCACGGGCGCGTTCAAGTTTTGAACCACCATATCGATCTAAAAATTTTGTTAAGTATGTATTCCAAATATCAAAAACGTTTGGCCATTTAAATAAAGCTACACCTTTTTCATAAGCTTTAAACATTTCTTCAAAATAGTTATTTTCTTCTAAAAATAGTCCATAATTTATAATAGTTTGCGGAGTTGCAATTCGTAAATCTATAACTCGATCGTAACAGGCCATTGTTGACTTGACTGTGCCAAAACTCTCTTCCATATCCAAATATAAGGACCATAATTTTAACGATTTATGTAATCGTATTTGAACTGTTTCTGTATCATCATGATAAGCTATTTTTCTTGAAGGTATAGCAGTGGCTTGTCGCATTAATCTCATTGCTTCATTAAAGTTATCGTGTCTCAATTCCATTTCTACCCATTCACACCAAACACTAGCTAAATGTTCAACTTTAGTATATGAAACTAAAACAGCTTTTTTAAACACCAAACGTGCTTCTTCAAGTTGTTTAGCTTTTTCATAAAACTTAGCAAATTCAACCCAAAGTGTATGTAACCTACCAACAGCTTTTTGAGGGTCAACTGTCTCTACAGCTTCAGTAAATGTATTAATTATCTGAACATCATTTCCTTCATAAAGCTGTACACGTTTTAACCATTCTTTAACATTGTGAGGATTTTGTCTTAAAAGTACCGAATTCAAAAGTAATAATCTTCTTTCAATTAAATTTTCCAACCTAGCCATCCGTAAATCAATCTCACAATCATCTTTATCAGTACTGTTGGGATTAGCATGAACAATTTCCATTCGTTTTTGTAAACTTAATTCTTCAAATTGTGCATAAGCATCATACACTTGGGTAAAATCTCTGACGGTTGTAACTGTTTGAATAGCTTCTTCATAGATATCTCTAGCTCTTTCAAATAATCCACTACGAATATAATAATCAGCTAATGAGTTCCATAAATGACCAAGTTGATCTGTGTAACGTCTTAAACCACTACGTATTATAGCATCAACATTTAATGAAATAATTTCCAAAGGATTTTTTGATATTAAATTGCATAGCTCATTCCAAAGTTGATGTTTAGATTTTCCATGTTTTGATACAAAACTGTCATTGTTTACTATTTCAGATAAACGTACTGCAGCTTCATCAAGTCGTCCAGATGAAGTCAAGTACTCAATATAATCTTCAGAATCTTCAGGAAATAATTTTAAATATCTCCTGTATACTTTTACAGCAACATCAGGGTCATGATTTTCTTTAATAAAATTCAAATATAATGGCCATATACGAACATGTTGAGTAATTGGTAGAGCTCTGAGTGCTCTATCAAAAAGACGCCTAGCAATAGTAAGTTTAGGTTGTTTTAGCATAAATGTACAAAATTCAATCCAGATTCGAGGCATCTTATTCATGTATACCAATGCTCGTTCGTAAACATTGTTTACCTCTTCATAATCAGGATCCTCCATTTTTTTTAAATATTTACGACGTATTTTTAAGTAACAATGCCAGAGTTTATAACTACCAGGAAGTTGTTTTAATGCTCGTTCATAAAGAACACAGACTTTTTTAAACGGTCCTTGTTTGTAATTATCTATGTAACGCATCCAACATTTGACTGAATTAGGATTCCTTAAAATATCTTGTTCAAATTCTACATCTCTCTTGTTAAGGTGGTAGGTTTGAAAGATTTCTGTTCTCACAGTATTAACATCTTGAACCATATTGTTATCAAGTGCCATTTTGGTATAATCTATAAATATATAAAGAACAATTAATAATGAATTTATCATATTTACATTTCTAACTGTAAATTCAATACACTACACAAGAAAAAAACAGCTAAACAAATTAAAATAGCAAATTATCAAAGTCATCAGTTCAAAATTTGATTTATGGGAAGTCCTATTTTTCTAAATTCAATGCTTAAATAAATACTAAACTATACTCCAACAACTGAACTACACCTATGATGTAAAATTATCATAACACATGTTTGAAAATCTTTAATTATGATTAAATAATATAAATATTAATTAAAAAAGTATTGATTACAAAGCCCTAAATTCAAGAAAAATTAAATTTATAAAAGTTGATGTAAGTACCAGGCAACTGACCACAAAGAATATAACGAGAATATTTGATTTTCCAACACGTTTTTAATAAAATAAGATAAATTAAGAAATTTTTTTAGAAAACGATATTTAAAAATGAATATACATAAAAATTAAAACTATTTTTTTAAAATCAACCAAGTATACAATCATTTACAGTATCATCATTATTCAAATTGAATTCCCAACTCGATCGGTGGAAGTGAATCCCACTAATATAACTTAACTTCCGAGTTCTAATAATAATAATATTATTTATATAAGATTCGTACCAATTTACTGTGCCGCTACAGTTTCCAATTAACAACTGTATTAATTTTTTAACTTCAAAAAAATGTTCGTAATACTACAGTTGATAACGTTTGATTTTGGTGGTAATTGATAAAGTTGTTAAGGTTTATGTTAGAAATAAAACCACGATGTAGATTATCTATATCGTGAATAAAATAAATCTTGTTTATAACATCAATACCAAACTGTAATCTTGCTGCGGTACACACATAACGAGCGCTTCCCCGCAGTAAGGCATTTGGCTGGCTTATCATAAAAGAACGTTATCATAGTTATATAAATTCTTTATATTTGATGAATATAAATTATATAATGTCCTAATGTATATGGTAGGTAGGTAGTAGAGCAAATGAATAGTTGTAATGGAGACTTGAGTTATTAAATATAATTACTTTATTACATATTAATTACTAGAAAAATGTAGTTATTTTTTTACAAGAATGGAATTAACTCTTAACATAGTATATAACCTAATAATACCATATTTTATCATTTTGCTATTCTCTTTGTAATTTTAGTTTTCTTTTGGTACATCCACTGAGAGGTGCCATTTTAAAATTAATTTAAATATTAAATATATAAGATAAAATGTATAAATACTATAAATTGTACAAATATTAACGCAGGTGACGTTAGCATAAGTGCGACGTGTGCTGAATGTGAATGTAAGTGCCCAATCGGAGACCATAATATAATTCTATATTTCTATATGAATCAATATAATGACAATACCCTCGCTCAAAATATTTTAAAAATAGACATACAAGTATACAGTAGTCACTGTCTAGATATGATAAGAACAACTTGACATTGTGGTATAGTACCGGTATTTAGCTATAAATAGCAATTATTTCCTAATCGATCGTTTAAATTTAGTTACAAGTTACATTACTTAGATTATAATTAAAACCCGATGTATTTGGTTTTATTTGCATCATATTTAGGCAATATTAAAAATTTGGTAAAAATTAAAAGCAATCATATAATAATGAGCCCCTCTCAATACTTTAGGTGGGCCGGCATAAGGCCGAACACATATTAGGGTAGGCCAGGCACACCCTGGCCCTCCTTTAGCTACGTGATTACCTACCTACCATATACATTAGGACATAATATAATTTATATTCATCAAATGTAAAGAATTTATAAAACTATACATTATAATATACCTAATAGTATATTAATATATACCTTTTAAATCAAAAGAGATCTTCTAGCTCCTACATTTTACATTTTACATTTACATTTACATATACATTTTACAATTTGAAGTTCTAATAACGTTCTTTTATGATAAGCCAACCAAATGCCTTACTGCGGGGAAACGCTCGTCACACATAGAGCACGAATTATGATTTTAACTATGATATATATTATGATTATAATCATAGTTCGTGGCAAAGAGTAACGGAGATTACTTTATGTGCCGCATTAAAATTATTTCATGCGATGCATAGCGATAAGATTTGTAGATTGATCTATAAATCTTGGCATAGCGGTGCGTTGCACATCCGTCACCATCGTCGGCGGTGGTGATAAGCCTCCATGTTTGACCGGCCGTTACGTATCGCATTGTTATCGTCGCTTGTGAATGTTATTCTACGTTTTAAAAGTTTTTTCAGTTATGTTTTAGTAAAAGTTAGTGATGTTCTCAGTACCACACAGTTTCGTAAGTTCTCGTGTTTTTTGGTTTAATGTGGTGGTACTGTGACATTTATATTCATTTTGTGGTGTCCGGCGGTCATAGCCTTCGTAGTGAATGTCGTCGGCACCGTCGTTCTCTCTGTTTGTGTCCCTCGTAGTGTGAATATCTATTGTCTCTTTGTTCCTGTTTGCAGCCATTTTTATAGCCATCTTTATAGCATAATTAATTTACTACCTATTGAGGTCAATAATCGCTAATTTGGCATCAGTCCGATAATACAGCATGAATAGATAACATTGCCTCTATATTACTCTATGGGTATACGCTAAAGATCTGTAAGGGCTATAAATTTACGACACAGCCCGGTCCAACAATTTTTTTTTCTAAAACCCAGTCAGACCGGTCTAAAAATTTTTGTTAAAAAAAGCTCAAGCCCGGCCCGAAAATCATCAAAAGCTCTTAAAAAGCCCGGTCCGGTCCAATCCAAAATATTTTGTAAAAAAAGCTCAGGCCAGGTTAGAAATAATTCAAAATAATTCCAAGCTATTGAAATTTGGTTCTGTCTGAGATATATTTTTAGTCCTAGAACATCATATTTAACTAATAACTATATAATAAAAATTTTTAAGAGTAATAATTATTCATTTACAAAAATGTGATCCAACCCTCCCTAAACATTATTTAAATTATGTCACTGGAGTTTGATAAAAAACAAACTAAATCAATCAGAAAGTACTTAAAACTTCTTATTGTAAACCACTCAATTTGAAAAATAACTAGTAATCACACAAAGTACATCTAAAAATGATCAAAAATTTTTAAAAATTAAAATATGAAGTCGGTACCTAACACATTTAAATTGGAAATAATATGTCGACTTTTGTCCTGAATGGATGAATTACAATTGTTAATACTTATTAAAACCTATATTTCTTATAAATCATAAATATTAGACTAAGTAGTAGCATTGATTAAATATTTAATCAATGGTAGTAGGTAGTAAGTACTAAATAAGAGTTAAAAACTTGTGTGGACACTGGGCGCTGTGCAATAAAGTATTAAATAGATATTAAGTATACAAGTGTCAAGTAAATACCTATACTTTAAAATGAGTAATATATATA